TGATGAGTAATGACATATCGTGCTCTCCCTTGGGATGACAGCAAAGACGTGCAGCAGCCAAACAAACTTTCATTTCCTTTCTTTTGATGGCAATATAATATGCAGTCATCAAAAAAAAAAAAAACCTTTAATGCTATTTATTTACAGTGAATAAGTAAAACAGATGATACATTGAGAATATAGTGATTATAATGATGGATATAGATCAAGAACACCCAGAATCCTTAGCCACCATACATCACATTGTTTCTTGTATGCTATTTTTCTTATATAATTTGATCCACACAGATCAATAAGAAAACCAATATTGTTCCCTTTCATTGAAAGGTAGCTAAAGTACACCATTTTATTCTACTTATAATTATTAGGACCAATAGTTCACTTATGTTTCTAAGTCTTTGGGTTAAAGTCAAGTGTAATAATGATGTCATTCAATTTCAATTATTTTTGTATTTCCCAATTGCGTTTATGCTTTTATATGTTTAGCCTTCTATGTTTATTGAGTTTTAGAATTAATCTAGATTACAATTAATTTCTATGCTGCTGAAGGATTTTGTCTTTAGCAAGAAGTAATAGGACTTGTTCCGTAACTGTGGACAACATTCTCCCTGTCCACATATTAAATAATCAAAATAGAGGTGGACGGGACTTTGGATATCTTTTAGTCCAACCTCCTTCTCAAGCAGGAGATTCTATATTATTTCAGACAAGTGGCTGTCCAGTTTCTTCTTAAAAGCCTCCAGTGATGAAGCAACCACAATTTCTGAAGACAAGCTGTTCCATTAATTGATTATTCTCATTGTTAGGAAGTTTCTCCTTAATTCCAGCTTGCTTGTCTCTTTGATTGGTTTCCATCAATTGTTCTTGTCTTGTCTTCTAGTGCTTTGGAAAACTTCTGTGCTTTAAGCCTATTCAAGTTACACTTTCATGATCGACAAAGATATTAGCAAAAAAAAAAAAAAATTCCAGTATCTCTATGTACATTTGTGTATGTTTTGCTGAGAAGGTTTTTGTTCTCTTTTTCTGAAAGTGGAGAGACAAGGCTCTCTGACACAACTATACCCACCTACACATTTGATGAAGCCTCTTGGATGGCAAGTGAAATGTCTTCTTCCTCAAGGAAAAAAGCATAGTCCAGTTGCCTGTTGAAAAAGCACTTTTGAGACAACTATAGTTCGGGTTTTAGAATGCAAACCAAAGTCCATATAAGTCAAATAAGTTTGGTGGCCTCTAAGAAAGTGATAAATCTACTGATTTCCTATAGTGGTGTGATTACCATTCACAGCTGACCACACTACCCACATAGAATTCTACAGAAAATAAAATTATCACTCATAGTTATTTTGAGAGAAATGTTGTTTTATGAAATACTTAAAGAGGACAGATGAATTATAGAAAGGACATTGGATGGGCTTAAACCTTCTCAGATGTCCTTATATTGTAGCAAAATGATCCAATGACTTGGAAACAAGTTGTAAGCTACACAACATAGTTTGGGTTTTGGAATGCAAATCAAAGTCCATATAAGTCAAAAGCTTTAGTAGCCTCTCAGAAAGTGATAAATCTTACATGGAAAAAGACAAGATGTAGGGAAAAAGCAAGGGAATAGGATCCTTGTTTTTTTCTTGAATTCTAGTATCACTTGGGAGTATGAGTTGCTCTTTGGCAGATGGAAAAAAAGCAAGAGGTAGATATAAGCAATGTAGAAAAATAAAACATTGTTCATTTTTTTAAATTTCTCCTCTGAATGTCTGTAATAGACATTGAGGGTGGTGCTGCTCTATAATTGCAGCAACACATTCAGAGCTTCCTTTATCAACTCACAAAATATGTTTAATATGGTACCGATAGAGGAGAATATTTGTAGTTCAGAGCTGAACTGTGGAGTCCATGATGCTCTCTGAAATATTTTTTTTTCTTGCAGATTTTTCATTATCAAACTAGATATCATCATCAGTGCTAGATAGAGAGTGTGATTTGTTTTCATTTTATATATTAGTAGCTTTCCTTGACACTGGTGGGAATGGTCTTGGTGGTTCCATGATTAGCTTCTCCTTCGGTAATACTGAATTGCTAATTAAGGCAACTAAAACCTTTGCTAAACTAATATTCGAATATAGCTCATCTGTCTGGAATCTGCACTGTATATCAGACATTAATACAATTGTGCGAGTCCAGAAATATGTCACGAGAAGAGTACTACACTCCTGTTCACAACAGAATACCCTACACCACCAGGCTTAAGATTTTGGGCTTGGACAACCTAGAACCATGTTGCCTATGGTTGGACTTAAGAGTAGTACACAAAATTATCTGCTACAGTGTCCTACCAGTCAATGACTACTTCAGCTTCAACCACAACAATACAAGAGCACACAACAAATACAAACTCAATATAAACCGCCCCAAACTTGATTGCAGAAAGTATGACTTCAGCAACAGAGTGGTCAATGCCTGGAATGCACTACCTGATTCTGTTGTTACATCCTCAAACCCCCACTCCATTACCCTTAAACTATTCACTATTGACCTCATCCCATTCCTAAGAAGACTGTAAGGGACATGCATAAGCACACAATTCTGCCTACCTTCCCTGTCCTATTGTCCCCATTTAATCATACCTATTTCCTGTATTCATACTCATGTTTATTCTTATACCTACTATCTTGTAAACATTGACAAATCAAATAAATAAATAAAATAAATAAATTTGTTTGAGTTAGTGTGGTTTCTTGATTTGGGCATTTTTTACTTCATAATTATTGGTCCAGTGTTAATCTTGGTGTTGACTGCTGGTGATGTGGTGTTTTGATCTTTTTGTTTCCCTTTTGGCTATTTAGATTGTATCTTTTGAATAGTATGTAGATGTCGTTTATCTCTACATGCCTGTTAATGGCTGATTTGTCTGAGTGCCAGGCTTCCAGGAATTCTCTAACTAACATTTGGACTTGGCTTGGTCTAGGATGCTCACAGTTTCCCAGTTGAAACTATGATTGTCTCTGTCCATGTGTTGTGAAATTAAGGAGTTTTCATTGTGTCTTCTAACTGCTAGTTGGTGTTCATGGATGTGGTTTGTTAGTTTTCTGCTGTTTGTCTTATGTAGTGACTGTTGCACTGTAAGTTGTAGATCAGGGGCTATGGCCCACTACAGGACCACAGCCTGTTCAAAACCAGGCTGCACAAGCGAAGTTCCACTCATGCGAGCAGTGGGACCTTGCACTTCTGCGTGAAGCTCCACTTGCATGGTCACAAGGGTCCTGAGTGGAGGGCACTTGTGCTTTTATGGGATGCTCCACTTGTATGAATGGAGGGCACTCACACACAAAGCTCCATTCACACATGAGCACAAGCGCTCTCCACTCAAGTGCCCTCCGCTCATGCATGAAGGTCAATTCACATGAGTAGAGAGTGTGTGCATCCATCGCTCACACCAATGGAGCTGTGCATGCACCTGTGCGCCTGCCACTCACACACACACACCCTGTGCTGGGACGGGCCTCCAAGGTGGAAAGGTTGGGAACTGCTCTTGTACATGACTCCTGTTTTTTTTTCTTGTGGGGTTACTGGGTCTTTTACTTAGGATGTTTTGGTGGGCTTTCGTTGGTTTGTGTGCCATGATGATGCCATATGCCTCTTAGTGGTTTCTGAGATGTTTTTTGTTATATAACAGTGTTATCCTTTTCACAACTTGTGTTGGTTGTATATATTGGGAGGCCGGGCACTTTTTGGTAAATCTGAGTAAATATACATTTTGTTAGAAGATGTATAGATGACCTGTCTCCTTTTTCTGGAGTTGAGGGTTGCTGCAGTGTGTTTGGGTTCACCTAAATAGTGTTCTTATTGAGCTTCTCTTATGGGAAGTTGGATGTTGTTATCTAATTTGGTAATGAAAAGTTTGCAAGAAAACAACCAAGCTCAGAGAAAACAACCAAGTTCAGAGAGCACCAAGGATCCCACATATATTTAATGTGACTCCTATCAGACCATGCATGCAGGTAGTAGATATGTATACTCTATCCTTCCATTTAACCAACATGAGTACTTTGTCTGCCTACTAATGTCCATCATAGATTCTTTCCACAGGAGACTATAGTTGAGCACATGGAGATATCATTTGTGCATGCCATCAAGACAAGGCTAGCTCACATTATTAATGGACCCATACAGATTGTCTTATCTAGGAAAAGCAGCTAAATTATAAGCTGTGCAAATGTGGAATGATTTTTTTACAGTAATAATCATTTTTTTCAACCTTTGACATTCAAAGTCAATGGGGAATCTAGATTCACTTTAGAAACTTGTTACTAATTTAAAAACTGGGTTGATTCTCTTAAAAATTGTGTCAAGGAAGGTTGGGGCAAAGCTCAACAAATGTCTCACTTAGCAAAATAAATTTTGGGCTCAGTTGTAATTGTAAGTTGAGGACTAACTGTATTGGAGACATTGTGTACTTATTGAAAGCTTTCCTTCATACCACATTGTATTATGGGGGAAAATACAAGGTACAGTCTTACCCCCTGAGATAAGATTGGCTCCTGACCTTCTGACCTTCCATAAGGACCTGAAGACCTGGCCCTTCCAGATGGCTTGGGGCCCCAATGGAGGAATGGTTGATGAATTAAGAAGCAGTTTCACCACTCTCCCTGTGCATCCTGTCAGTTTTTAACCATAATTTTATCTTTGATTGTAATTCCATTTTTATCATTTTAGAATAATTTATATTCTATGGTTTTAATGTTTTTAATGCCTTATGCCACCTGATGGCATAAGATGTTTGGCAAATAAATCTAATAAGTAAATAAATATAGGCAGTCATTACAGAGTGGACTTACAGTTTTATTTACTTGATTCTACTACATGATGATATCTCAATATATTTGTTGATTCATTAATCCCTCTTTTCTCCCACATTATCTCAAAGTATATTTGTAAAGAAAAACTTGAAGAATAGATATAGATCATAGTTTGACTGTGTATTTGTGTATGTTTTTCCTCCTTAGGTTCTCTCAGTCAAGAATTAACAGTTGTAGTCCAAGCAGGAGATGAAGCCAGGCTTCCTTGCCGTTACCAAATCGCTAGTGGCACACTAAAATCTTACTACATCTACTGGCAAAAGGTTAACTTGGATAAACAAGATCTGGTTGTGATTTCATATAAGTACGGTGAAGAAGTTGAATTGGAAAAGGACAAAACTTACAAGAACAGATCAAAGTTAGAAGAGCAGAATCTTATACTTTCAATTGCCTCAGTCACAGTAAATGATAGTGGACTATATCAATGTATTGCCATATTGGAAAGTCACGTAAAAGGGAAAACATTTACCCGTTTATCTGTGATAGGTAAGTGTTAATCTTCTGACACAACTTCTTTAATTTCCCCCTCTCTCTTTCTCTCTCTCTGTATAATTTTATTAAAGAGTTTTTAAAAGGAAGATAAAACTAATACAAACTAATATAAGAAAACTAGGAAACAGAAAAAAATCATTAAAGAGAAAGCTAAATACAAGAGAGACAGAAAAGTGTAAGAATAATAGTAACGAAATTTTTAAAAAGACAAAAAAAACTTTCTGACTTATTTACAGCAGTTATTAGACTGATGTTACAACATATCTATCTTCTTTCTATCATCTATCCTATCTGATTATTTAAACCACAAATCATAACATAATTTATGTAAAAAAATACATTAGGGGTTTCCAGGTAGCAATAAATTCTTATCTGATCCAAGAAGTTAGTTTAGCTCAACAAGTTCCATTATTTTCACCAACCATTCCTCCATTGTGGGTAATGCCAAATCTTTCCATCTCTGTGACACAATAATCTCACTACAATTATCATATACAAAAATATCAGATCCAACTGTTCATCAGATTCAATTGTTTGTCCCTCAGTTCTCCCACACTGCAAAAGAAATCTTTGCTCTCAATTTATTTTAATTTTTAAAATTCTTCATGTGTTTTTGAATCCAATATTTTATAGCTTTTTATATGTCCACCAAACATTATAAAATGTTCCTTCTTGTTCATATTTCCAACATAAATTTGAAATGCTTTATAAATTCTAGACAAGTTTTCAGACAACATATACAAACAGCACATTTTATAAAAATTCTTTTTAAAACATAGCATAGATTTCAATCCTTTCAACTATATATTTTCCTATTGATCCATCTGTATATTATAAAGCCAATTTAGCTCACTTTATCATACATTCTTTTACTTGTTCTTGTTTCATATTAGAATAGAACTTTTTACATTTTACCAATTACACATTTATCATTTGTGTATACAATTTTACTAAAACTCAGTGAATTTACCTAAATTCTTTTTAATAAATTCTTTTAATTTCTTTTATCACTTTTTCTTCCTTTTGTAGGAACATTTTATTTAGCTTCCCTCTAAAAGAACTAATTATGTTTCTTCTTAAAAAGAATGTACTGTGTATCTTTTAGAGAAGTAGGTGTACTTTCTTGAATTGCCATTTTTCTGTCTCCAATCAACCAGCCCCAAACTGAAGCTTTTGGTAATTTGCCATGAGTGATTTTAATATTTTTCCCAGAAGTTCTATATAGTTGTGTGGATGCGAGGAGATAATGCTTATTTGGAAGGGAAATAAAACCAGGAGGGTTTATCAATACTTTATTTTAATCTGTTCTACATCAAAAATGTTGACAGCATCAGTCACTGATCTTGTTACTGTTATAGAATAGGGTGCGACAATTGTCCCAAATGTGGCTCTGGTATATCTTTTGGTATACCTCTAGTATACCTGACTCAAAGATTAAGGCAATATTTAGCTAAACTGAACTAAATATTATTTTCTAACTCTGGAATGCGATCCCTGATAGATTTGTCAGAATGATAGTCTTTGGATTGAGCTGCTATATATTGATTTTTTTTCCTTCTGCAAAAGCAGTTGGACTCCCAGCCATAGCCATCTGTTCCTAATCATCTTGACAATAAAATGATGAAGTGGGCATTATGACATCACAATGCATGAGACATAGAGTATAGAATCATAACTGTTCATTATATGATTTGGTCTCCAGGCCCTTATCATCTTTGTTGCTGTTCTGTGCATACTTTCTAGAGTCTCAGCATCTTTCTTGCATTGTAGCAACCAAATTTGACACAGTATTCCAAGTGATTTACAATTTATATACACTAAATTATAAAATATGTATTAGAGACCAGGTAGGCCATTAGTTCTAGTGCCATTATAGGCACAAAGCTAGTTGGGTAATTGAAACATCATTATAAAATCACAATATTAACACCATTCTTAGCAGTACACACATACATTTTCAGTACATATTTTATATTAATCACCAAGTATCTAATTAAATAAATAAGGTTTTGCCGCTATTCAGTAAAGATTAATAATGAGGATGCTGTCTTATTTTGGGAAAACATTTGCACAGAAGGGGAACTTGGCAGAGTTGTCTGAAATGTTTAAGAGAATTTTCTTAAATTCAGAATAATCAATGACAGGAAATTTAGGGGGAAAGTCTTCATGTGTACAGGTCTGCTTGAACAAATGCGAATATCAAACATTTTTTACATATGAGTCATATTCTGTAATATCTTGTTGTCTTTTTTGTGTCTTTCAGTTCCATTTAGTACACCTATCATCCTGAACAATTTGTCCGGTGAACATTGTGACTCAAAAATTTTGACACTGATGTGTTTGTCTCATGGAGGTTCTTCAGAGCCAAAGATGTATGGATCTATCAATGAAAATCCAGTGAATTGGACTGTCACAAGCAATGAAATATTTGGTCATTTTAATATTGCTGGCACCTTGCAGTTAAACATGACAGAAAATATATTGATTCAGTGCTCAGTTCATTATTTAGATTTCCAAGTGTCAAGCAATTATAGCTTGAGTAAGTTCCTTTCATTTTATCTAAAGGCAATTGTATTTGATTTTATAATATAATAATTGAGTGAATGACAAAACACAAAGCTATTTGAATTAATAATTAAATTAAAAAATCTTATTTTTGAATGAAAATTGCTACTGTGGTTAGAAAACTCTCATCTATCATCTTTTCTATGCCCTTAGATTCTTATGACTATAATATTGTTATATCTCATGATTTATGTTGGTTGCTCCTATTTAGTACCCTAGGATGATTTATGTTGATTGCTTAGTATCCCGTGACTGTCACTGAAAGTTGTATCTGACTTATGATAATTTTATTTTATGATTATGATTATCACTTGTTGTTCGTATGTACACTGCACTGGAGAAAAATTCCTTGTGTGTGTCCAATCACATTGGGTCAATAAATTCTATTCTATTCTAAATCATAGAACTAACGATTTCTTCACTGTGATCCTGGATTTCTCAATATTACATTCAACGTTTATTTCAGATATGGCAAAGAACTGTTCTGAACCCACAATGCCACCATTGATTCCACCTTTTGGGATCATAATTTCTTCAGGAGTGATCTTGATTTTCTTTCTAGCTATGGTAATGCTAGTAATACTCCAATGCTACTGTAAGTACTGATACCTCTGTGACTAGCTGAAGCATGGTTATCCTCTCATCTATCATGCTATGTATTCCCTTAGATTCTTATGACTATAACTTTGTTGTTATATCTCATGATTTATGTTGATTGCTCCTATTTCATATCCTAGTATGATTTGTGTTGAATATGAAATGATAGAATAATCATAGGGCCACAATAGATTCAGACAAAATGCAATCCTGTAAAATCCCCATCTTCCCCATTTTTTGAAAGCCCATTAGCTTTCAGCAACCTTACCCAGGTACATTATGAGATCCTAAGTGAGAAAAATGAAAACTTATCATATTTCACAAGATATTATAATGATCTCATGACATTTGGTGTTTTTGCAAGATTTGGGCCTTTCCATTTTAATGAATGTAACTCTAATTTGGTGAACATCAGAGCCTCTGATGCCACAGGTGTCATATTTCTAATTCTTGTGATATAGAGATAAAATGTGAAACACACTAACAACTATGTTTTAATAATTGAAAGTATGAAGACTGGTTGTACTCATTACCTGCATATATTGATTAAATTGCCAATATAGATATCCATCTGATTTAGTCTATTAAGAAAGTACACAAAAGTACAGCTCAATTTCAGATGCTTTTAATCAAGGTTGAAGAGTAGAGGTTAGCGTCAGGCTACTTTAGATGTTCCTGCTTTAACACACATAGAATAGTAAGAATGGTTTGTTTATATTACAGGTGAAACTCGAAAAATTAGAATATTGTGCAAAAGTTCATTTATTTCAGTAATGCAACTTAAAAGGTGAACCTAATATGTGAGATAGACTCATTACATGCAAAGCAAGATAGTTCAAGCCATGATTTGTCATAATTGTGATGATTATGGCTTACAGCTCATGAAAACCTCAAATCCACAATGTCAGAAAATTAGAATATTACATGCAATCAATAAAACAAGGATTGTACATAGAACAATATCGGACCTCTGAAAAGTATAAGCATGCATATGTACTCAGTACTTGGTTTGGGCCAATTTTGCAGCAATTACTGCCTCAATGCGGCGTGGCATGGAAGCTATCAGCCTGTGGCACTGCTGAGGTTTTATGGAAGACCAGGATGCTTCAATAGTGGCCTTCAGCTCTTCTGCATTGTTTGGTCTCATGTCTTTCATCTTTCTCTTGGCAATGCCCCATAGATTCTCTATGGGGTTCAGGTCAGGTGAGTTTGCTGGCCAATCAAGCACAGTAATCCCACGATCATTGAACCAGGTTTTGATGCTTTCGGCAGTGTGGGGAGGTGCCAAGTCTTGCAGGAAAATGGAGTCAGCATCTCTATACAGCTCGTCTGCGGAAGGAAGCATGAAGTGCTCCAAAATCTCATGGTAGACAGCTGCATTGACCCTGGACTTAATGAAGCACAGTGGACCAACACCAGATGATGACATGGCTCCCCAAATCAACAGAGACTGTGGAAACTTCACACTGGACTTCAAGCATCTTGCAGTGTGTGCCTCTCCATTCTTCCTCCAGACTCTGGGTCCTTGGTTTCCAAATGAGATGCAAAAGTTGCTCTCATCAGAAAAGAGGATTGTGGACCACTGAGCAACATACCAGGTCTGTTTTTCTTTAGCCCAGGTAAGACGCTTTTGACGTTGTTTGTTGTTCAGGAGTGGCTTGACAAGAGGAATATGACATTTGAAGCCCGTGTCCAGGATACGTCTGTGTGTGGTGGCTCTTGATGCACTGACTCCAGCCTCAGTCCACTCCTTGTGAAAGCCCCCAACACTTTTGAATGGCCTTTTCCTGACAATCCTCTCCAGGCTGTGGTCATCCCTGCTGCTGGTGCACCTTTTTCTTCCACATTTTTCCCTTCCACATAACTTTCTATTAATGTGCTTTGATATAGCACTTTACGAACATCCAACTTCTTTTGCGATTACCTTTTGAGGCTTTCCCTCCTTATGGAGGGTGTCAATGATGGTTTTCTGCACAACTGACAGGTCAGCGGTCTTTCCCATGATTGTGCTTCCTACTGAACCAGACTGAGAGACCATTTAAAGGCCCAGGAACCCTTTGCAGGTATTATGGCGTAATTAGCTGATTAGAGTGGGATACTTTGAGCCTAGGATATTGAACCTTTTCACAATATTCTAATTTTCTGAGTGTGGATTTGGGGTTTTCATGAGCTATAAGCCATAATCATCTCAATTATGACACATCACAGCTTGAACTATCTTGCTTTGCATGTACTGAATCTATCTCATATATTAGTTTCACCTTTTAAGTTGCATTACTGAAATAAATGAACTTTTGCACGATATTCTAATTTTTCGAGTTTCACCTGTATAGTGACTGGCCAGTTTTCAGTAGGATATTGTCTAGAAAGCACATTCACATTGGAAACTGAGCAGGAGAATTAATCCTTTTCTTGGGATAATAGCATTATCACTAGTTGTAGAGTTATAGTTGATGCCTACATTTTATGCAGCATTTAGTTCTTGAATTTCTATCATTATAGTAAGATCTGTTTTTGCAAGGTTGTATGGTAAATTCATTCAGCTATAGATTATTCACACAGGTTTTGTGAAAAGGTTACAGGATCTGGACAGAGGAAATAATTTTTAAATCTCTCATCACAGGGGATTTAAAGCTCAAAAGCAACAGAATATTATTATAAGATTTTTCTCTGTTACCCATTATATCTGATGGAGCATGATTTGCGGTTCATCAAAGTTCAGGACATAATAATTATGTGTATGTGAGTTTATGGTACCACAAGTCTATTGTTTTTGGAGAAAATGACTGAGATGTTCCTGGAAATTTCTGCTTCTTCCGATGTATCAAAAAGTAAACAAGTGTTTAAAAATCCCCTCGACTACTAATCTGCAATTTTGAAAATAAAACTTGGCCTTTAAGAATAAAATATTATTTGTTCTTCATGTAGCTGTGGATTTCAGAGAATGTTGGTTTGGAATCTCTATTGGAGGAGTGGTTAAAGAGGGAAATTCTCTTTGAGGTCTGCTTTAGAATACATAATGTAGGCAGGTATTCTTTGTGTTTCGTGGTATTATGCTAAAGCATTTTGTAATATATGGAACCAGATGTAACAAAAGTTTTCTTGTTTTCATCATTTTAATGTGTATAAACAATTGTCAAATATAAACAATGCGTATCTTAGAAAAAACATGTTAACAAAAAATCCACATATAAAAGCAAATTGTTATTATTATTACTTATGATGACTTACTAGATGGTTTGGATCCATATAGATATGAATCTCCTATGAATTCTGCATTTTTGAGATAAATTGACAATGCTTGCAAGTGCTGTCTTTTCCCCCCTAAAATTTAGAACACAATGCTTTCAATTCAGAAATAATTCCATGGAACATAGTGACACGTAAAATTGCAGAATTTTTCAGTTGCAGCATTGCACCACTTTAAAAGCTGCCTGGAGAGGCCTGCAGTGCCTATTTTATTGCTGCTCACTAGATGTAAAGAAAATGTTCTCTGTGGTAAACCAGCAGACAGCCATGCTTTGATGCCAGTTTGTCGTAGACCAGTATTCATGTGTGGACTCTGTAGTGGATGGTGGGATAAAAAATAACCTAAACAAAGTATCTTCCTTTACTTTTGCGCTTAATTTTATTGATAAGGACCTGGGAATAGAGGGTAGATTAGATTCTCTTAGGACATAGTGTTAAGAACAGGAAGGCAGAAAAGAAGGTGGCAGGAAATTAAGAAGTCTTACAATTATCAGAATGAAACATTAGGAACAGAGAGGATTCTTGGCAGCCAGCTCAAAGTGTTACCATAGTTAAAATGGATTAAATAGCTCTGGGAGCTGTTGAAGATGGACCATATATTATTGGTTTCCATCCAGAGTAGAATTGATCAGTAATTCTAAAATGATTGTGATCATTTTTCACTAAAATGATCAATTTACACTAAGTTTTATGGGATCCTGGATGATGCCAGAACACACACGATTTTTAAGGGTACAATCTTGAGACGAAATACACTGAAGAGGAAAAGCACTATGGAAAGTCCACATCTACATCTAGATTGTGATTGCCTCATTTTGGAACAGGAAAACTGTCTATTAAAGAATGTAAGATAATGTTGAAACTGGTAAAACTACTTGCTTATCAGATAAAGCTTTTTATCCAAATGACAGATTTATTTATTTCTATTTTCCCGAAATAAGAGAAAAATCTGTGATTTAATTTTGTTATTGTTGCACTAGTTCATAAGCGTCCAACGTCCTCCACCACACATCAGTCACTGGCAACAGATGAAATGATACTCAAGGAGCACTCTAGGAGGCAGACACGTTCAAGGCTGCAGAGGTAAGCTTAGTGCTCTGCATTGTCCTCATAAACAAATGAAAATAGAAGAGTTGGAAGTAGCCATATAAGCTACCAATTTCAATTTTGTGCCTATAAGATCTTCACAGAAGATGCTCCCTGTCTCCATAAACACATTCAGTGGAAAGGGGTCTACCATCACTCTTGGTAACTATTGTCAAACTGCTTTTACAATTTATTTTACTATTCAAATCCCATACCATGCAAGCCAATAGAGTATAATAGTTGAAGTGTAGGAGTAGATATTAACTCAAGTTTGAGGTTATTCTCAGCCAAGGAAATTTGCTGTCTCCCAAATCTACCTCGTAAGGTTGTTGTGGGAAACACTAGAGGCAGGATATTAAACAAATTGATATCCTCACTGTATAATTTAAATCCAGATTTCCATATTAGAGAACATATTTTGAGTATCTTCTTTGGGACATTAACTGCTAATATATTTTTCACAAAATCTGCATGGTTTTGTTTTGGAAACGAATGTTGGATTTGTCTATTAAATATCATTAAATCATTTTCAGCGCATTTATCTAAATTAGCTTATTTCTACTAAGATCATTTTTAAAAATTTGATTTAGCTCTCCTAGCCAATTTTGAATTTGCAGATACGATGTTCTTTTGCTCTTTTCAACTCTCCAGTTATATTTTTATTTTATTGATTTTATATACACACACATTTATATACATACACACACACACACACACACACACACACACACAGTGTAGCCTTTACCCATATAAGTTAGGAACAGTTTTGTTAATTAATTTTTAACACAAAAATACGTGTAGGGTGAATGGGTTACACATTTTTGTTACTGGCTTTTTCAACATTTCCATTTCCAACACAGTATCAATATTTTAAAATTAACTTAAAAATAATCAGAATGCCACAATGTGCCTAAACGTTTCATTTCCAATGAAAATGGAGCCAAGTAAAAACAAATAAAGAAGTTTTGATCAATTTATCTTTGTTTCCTTCTTCCCAGTTTTGAATTTGTTGATAATTTAGAAGACAGAGATTTATTAAAGTTTTCCACACTATTATATTACATTATTCCAGACTTTGAAAGTTAATGGGAACATTCCATACCTATGAAATTATTAGTCACATTAAATGCCAAACCATGTACTTTTTCATGCTATTATATTACATATTCAAAGGGTTTTTTTGCTCTGAAATTGCAACAACCTCCAGATCAATTTTTCATGTATTTTACATTCTTGTTTATATTCTCAGATCTTCACTCTGATTTTGAGTTGCAGCTCCCAGACTTATTTTGGTAAGAGATTCTGTTATTCAGCTGGGATGAAGAATTCTCCTAACAGAATGAAATGCTGACTAGAAATCACAAACGTATTTGAAGATTTCCCATTACATACTTGAAGAAGATGGGTGATAACTTTGTGTGGGCTTGGAAGCTAACCATGACTGCATCTGAGAAAGTCTTGAATGACAGGTTGTAGACAAAATTATGTGGTAGTCCTGTTTGAAGAAGACACTGTTTTCAAGTTTGAAAACAAGATTGGAAAACTGAAACTGAAAAAAACAGTGCACATCACTTTCAAACTGCTGTGAAGAAAACTGAAATGTTTGTTGTGCTACGGTTTTGTCTGTCATTAAGCCTATGGCTTTTTTAAAAAAAACTAAAAATAACGACTTTATGACTCCTTTTTAGTTCTCTGTATGAACTGTTTTTGGTCTTATTTATAAAAGATGGCTTGGAAACTTGGTGTAAATAACAATTGGAGAACAATATAAGCCCAAGAAAAAAATGATAAAAATGTTATGTTTGTATTCATATAATCACCAGAGTACAGCACAACTTGGGAAACATTTTTTTAAAAAAATAATCATTGTGTGCTGTAAAGTAGTGCCCTGAAAAAAATCAACAATTAGTCTAAAATTCATTAATCTTTGTGGACTGATTCTTGCAAAATATGAATTTAGTGTAATAAAGAGATGTTCTCATATGTCTTAGTCATTCCATGCATTAGCAGAAGAATGCAGGCTATTAATATTGTTCCGAAACTTGATAATTCCTAGGAATTATAGTATGCCTACTATGTAGGTAAATGAAGCTTTTCAATTTGGAAACTTTTCTTAAATGGAACTTGAACATGAATAACCCTGCTTATTTATAATGGAAAGCTGAACAACATAAGCAATTGTGTAACTTAACTTGGTGCTATAAAATAATCTAGAATTAATACAAGACATGTAAAATTTTTATAGAAGGCAGCGTTTATAATTTGGATCAATTAACAAATGAAAACAATGAATTTTATTGGCTTTCATTTTAAAGAACAAATATTATATTCGGTTAGTGCAGGGGTATCAAACTCATGTCATCACAGCAGCGTCACGTGATGTATCAGGACTTTTTACCCCTTCACTAAACCAGGCCTGGGCATGGCCAGCGCGTTAATGATTAATCAATTCAACTTGGATAGAAGAACTGGGAATAGATAAATGCATCATCAGTTTAATGCCCTTGCATTGCCACAAGAGATCCAAGTCCAGTTCCCGTTGAATTCTGTTGACCCTTATCTAGCACTAATTTAGTGCTGTCCATTAATTGACTAGATTCTTGTATATAGACTTGAATAAATCTTCTATGATGCAACCTCACAAATGGTCCGATTCTTTGCATCTGACAAAATACAAAGTAGCTGATTCCAATGGAAGATAATAGGTTGAATAGGTTAAATAGAGCAACAGGATAAATAGATATTCCTATTTGTCTATATAATGGAAAATATTGTTGACATCAATTCTAAAAATATCTACACACCTTAGAATACATTTTATGCAACAAAAAATATTTCAGATCCATTGCGTTTTTGAAAAAATTTCATCATGGTGAAGATGCCCTCAGATTGTTTTATTTTACTGTTTACACAGTATCTTATAACAAGGTCATTTCAGAAACAGTAATTAACATATTATTCAATTTTGAGACAAGTTCTTTTTAACTGTAGTCTTTATCAGAAATTTACATTTAAACAAAAAAAGTAAACCACACCATGCTGACAATTTTGACTATTTTTCTAACATTACAAAAATAGCTTAATGGGCTTCAGAAATAACGTTAGTAACTAATGAATACATCATTTACTAACATAGATTACACATGAATAATTGCAATGAAATGCTTATATACTTTTATTTACTCCATGTATATGTAAGTGTACATTCTGTATTTTTTAAAGTTTTTTTTATAATTGTGTGTATTCTTTTTTTGTATTCAATTAATAAAACCTTGTAAAAGTTCTTTTAAAGCTGTATTACTAGGTATTGCTATAGCCACAGCTTATTGGCTATCTGAATAATCAATTTACTACTGCTTTAAATGTGTATCTCAGGCTTGTGCGATAGGATTTTAATGAGCTAAAAGAGTATCTGGTATCGTACCTTGATATGCAAAAAAAAAAAAATAGAATGCTAAACTGTCTTATTTGGTAGGGATTGGGTTACCTATGGACATGGATTGCAAAGAACCACCTGGTTTTTAGAAGAACTCCAGAAGAACACTGGAGAAAAATGAAGAGTAAATTCAAATGAATACAGGTAACAGCCTTTATTAATACCTAATAAAGGGAGTGAAAAACTGCTATTTCTTTGCCCCTAACTTTTTTTTGCAGAATGTCAACTAATGTCCTAATATGGTAACTTGTTATCTTCTGGGTAAGGAATAGTTATGGGAATTTTTGCAGCACTGATGCAAAGACTATTCTAGTCAAGTGCTGGATAAATGGCTTGAATTTGTTGGAGTGAGATATATTACTTATTTTAGGCGTCATAGGTTATCAGTTTTTATCCCTGTATGCTACCCTTTGTTGTGAGATGGGTGGTCGTAAAAATCATTTAAATAAGCAGAAAGGGATAGAGAAAGAATATAAGTTGAGAGAGGAATATGCCAAATAGTAAAATATGTGAACATAAATTACTCAAGACACTAACTAGTTATTACACTTTAATTCAGGTGAGTTGTAACAAATACCACATTCCAGTCTCATTTGAAAATGGCTCTCGATTTCACATCTCACTGTAGATACTTTTTCAAAGGCTTTGATTTTGAACAGTCAACTGTATCCCATAATTTTTTTCCATTAAACTTTTATACTTGCTTTTATGAAGAGTCTCATCCAATCAACAATTTTGAGAATTCAATCAGGAGAAGCTGACTCTTTCTGAGAAAACATTCTTATCAATGCAACTTCATTAAATTTTAGGCAGTTCACACATCATTGTGGAACTTTCTGAGAAGCAATTGTTTCAAACTCAATTATAGTGAAAATAATTCTCCCATTTATACAATTATAGATCTGTAAAGTACAAAATAATGCAGGGGTCCCCAACTCACAGTCCGTGACCTGGCACCTTGAGAACTGGGCTGTCCAAGCGGTGGGGTGTGTGTGCAAAGCTGCATTTATACAAGCAGTACGCACGCAAAACCATCTCTTCTCCCCCCCAATCCCGACTGCCACCGATCCACTGAGCCAGAACTTTTTGGGACTGCTGGACTCATGCTAAGGGTTTCATTTTCATCATCAAGTTTACTTCACTATGAAAATGAGACAATTAAATATTTATAGAAAAGTATCTATTTATAAGCATGTGTGTGTATACATATTACATATGTGCAACGTGTCTGTCAATCACATTGTGTGTGTGTTTGTGTGAGTAATATATGTATACACACTTATATCTAGTTTTCTTTATTGAATGGCATCCATATATTACAAAATGTTGATAGTATGCTCATGACTATTTACTGTTACCTTTTTTGAAGTCCACAATTTCCCCGATTTCAAAAAAGTTCTTCTAAAGAATAAACATCCACATTAAAATTCATCTGCAAAGCAGTTAATAAGAACATTTCTTCTTCCAATGCTGTAATATGATGCAACCTTTTCCATCAGTCATTTCATCAGAATTAGCTTTCCTGCAACCCTCTTCTAAGAATGCATTTTTATGCTGCCCCAAATATTTTCTAGCACTTTTTTCTCCCATTTTCACGTTAAACTTCTTAAATACTGTATATGAAATGGCACTTGACTAAAACCTGTGTTTAGACAAAAATCTTCAAACACATCTTAAATTATATATGAAATATAAAGTGATTTAGTTATGTTAGTCAGTGTAATGTACAAAAGGGGCGTTGGTTCTTACCAGATACGCTTCTTCTTGTAGAGCTGCATAGAGTGTCCAGGATGGGAGGTGCTCCAGTCTCGGCTCTCACAGGCTGAGCTTGAAATTGAGGAACGCCTCTCACCATCACGTGGTCCTCTGGACGTTCCCCAGTTTTGCGAAGACGAGAAGGAAGGCCCTGTTCTCATCCTAACTAAAAATTATTAGTTTGCTTGGCCGAACAGCGAGGTTCCCCACCAGACGGACTAATGGGTGGGGCTGGACACTCTATGCAGCTCTACGAGAAGAAGCGTATCAGGTAAGAACCAACGCCCCTTCTCCATAGAGCTGCTACGAGTGTCCAGGATGGGACATACCAAAGCTTGGCGAGTCCTGCGGGTGGGTTCCCGTCTGGTGTGGGACCTCCCCTGAAACCTCAAGTACCTGCTGAAGGACCCGCCTGCCAAATGAAGCCTCGGCAGATGCAAATACGTCAATCTTGTAGTGCTTGATAAAGTGGGATGGAGATGCCCAGGTGGCGGCCCTGCAGATGTCGGATATTGAGGCTTGGGTAGCCCATGCGGCAGAGGTAGCCGCACTTCTAGTGGAGTGGGCGGTGACGCCCGAAGGAACAGGGAGGGACTGTGCCTGGTAGGCTTTGGCGATGGCAGCCCTAATCCAGCGGCCCACGGTTGTGGGCGTCACTTTGCGACCGAGAGAGGTAGGTTGGAAGGACACAAATAAGGCCTCCGACTTGCGAAAAGGTTGGGTGCGCTTGATATACACTCTCAAGGCGCGCCTTACATCAAGGGAATGCCACTGTCTCTCCTTCTCTCGAGAGGGGTTGGGACAGAAGTTAGGGAGGATGAGCTCCTGAGCTCTGTGAAATGCTGAATTTATTTTAGGGAGGAAGGTGGGGTCGGGGCGGAGGACGACTCTGTCAGAATGAAAAATACAAAGGTCCTGTCTAATGGAAAGGGCTGCCATCTCCGAGATCCGACGAGCGGATGTGATGGCCACGAGAAAGACAGTCTTGAGGGTGAGGAACTGTAAGGAAGCCTCCCTAATGGGTTCAAAGGGGGGCTTAGTAAGAGCGACCAGGACTTTGTTAAGGTCCCAGGTGGGAAAATGGTGTATGGTCGGGGGACGGAGATTGGAAGCTCCCCTGAGGAAAACCCGGATAAGGGGGTGATGGGAGATGGAACCCCCAGTGTCCGAGGAGACAACTGTTGCGAGGGCAGCAACCTGACGCCTTAGGGTGTTGGTAGACAGACCTTTGTTAAGGCCCTCCTGAAGGAATTCCAGGATCTGAGCAATGGAGGGAGAAAGAGGGTTAATTTGAAGCCTGAGTGCCCAAGAACGGAAGGCGACCCACGTGGCATTGTATATGCGGGTGGTCGAGGGTCGTCTGGCTGCCAGGATGGTGTCTATAACCTGGCTGGAGAAATTCTGAGCCTTTAAGCGTTTCCGCTCAACCTCCAGATGGCTAATTGGAGCCATTGGGGGTTCGGGTGTAGCAGAGGGCCCTGGGACAGAGAGATCCTGTCTGGAGGGATTCTCCAAGGAGGGGCCACCGAAAGGTTGCGGAGGTCCGCAAACCAAGGGCGTCTGGGCCAATAGGGGGCTACCAGAAGAATCTCTGCCTTTTCCAGAATTAACTTGTGTATCATCCTGGGGATGATGGAGCGGGGGGGAAAGGCATAAAGGAGCCCTGGTGGCCAAGGGCAACGGAGGGCATTGTGATTCTCCGCCCCGTGGGAGGGGTATCTGGAAAAAAACCTTGGTAGCTGGGCGTTGAGGGGGGATGCGAAGAGATCCACCGTGGGGAGCCCGAAGATTGAGACTGCTTCCCTGAAAAGGGAGGGGTGGAGGTGCCATTCTGCTTGGTCCAGAGTGGCCCTGCTGAGCCAGTCTGCTTGGATGTTTAGGGTCCCTGATATGTGATCTGCCCTGATGGAAGCCAGGTTGGATTCCGCCCAACGACAAAGATGTTCGGCTTCTCTCATGAGCCTTGCCGAGTGAGTGCCCCCCTGTCTGTTGATATGTGCCTTTGTGGTGATGTTGTCTGTGAGGACCAGGATGTGACGTCCGCGTACCTGGGGTAGGAAGCTGCGGAGCGCCAGGTAAACAGCGTGGAGCTCCAGCCAATTTATGGAGCAGAGTTGTTCTGTTGCCGACCATTTGCCCTGGGACGAGAGGGAGAGGACGTGAGCGCCCCAGCCGAGTAGGCTCGCGTCCGTGGTGACGGATAGCCTGCCGGGTTCCTTGAAGTAGTGGCCCTTGTTGATGGCCGGCCTGGTCCACCAAAGGAGGGACGTGAGGACTCTTGGAGGAACTCTGACCCGGAGTCGCGAGTTGCTCCTTCCTGCGCGTTGATACGGCAGCAGAAACCATTGTAGGGACCTGGTGTGAAAACGGGCCCAAGGGATAATAGATATACATGAAATGAGCTTCCCCAACAGTTTAGACAATTCTAAAAGAGAAACTGTTCTTGCCCTCCTGATCTCTTTAATGGATTGTTGTATACTAAGCCACCTGTCTGGAGACAAGAAAACCAGTTCCTGGACGGTGTCGATCACTGCCCCCAAGTGAGTGAGTCAGGTAGAGGGGGAAAGGTGACTTTTTCTCCAATTAATCATGAACCCGTGGTTTTGAAGGGTGTTAAGGGTCAGTTTAGTGTCTCGTTGGGCAAGGGCCCTAGAGGAGGAGAGGATGAGGATGTCGTCCAGGTAACAGTGGAGCCGGACAGGGACGGATCGCAAGTGGGCGGCAAGGGCCGCCAAAACCTTGGTGAACACCCTAGGGGCGGAGGACAGACCAAAGGGGAGCGCAACGTACTGGAAATGTTGTTTATTGTAGGAAAAATGGAGAAACTTGTAGTGGGAGGGGTGAATTGCAATATGTAAATATGCCTCGGAGAGGTCAATTGAGGTGAGCCAGTCCCCTCGCCGGGTTCCCGTAAGTATAGACTGCAAGGTGTGCATCTTGAATTTACGGGGGGCAATGTAGCGGTTTAGCCTTTTTAGGTCTAGGATAGCCCTCCAACCCCCCGAATGCTTGGGCACTACGAACAAGTGGGAATAGAAGCCTCGCCCCCATTCAGATGCGGGGACGGGCTGGATGGCTTTTATGTTAAGGAGGTGGCTAATAGCAGCCTCCATAAGAGCCCTTTTTGCAGGGTTCCTGGAAAGCGGGGAGGACATGAAGAATTCGGGAGGGGGAGATTGGAACTCGAGTGCCAGGCCAAGGCGAATCGTGTCCCTGACCCATGCGTCGGTAGTGATGGCCTCCCATCGATGGGCAAAGTGTTTGAGGCGGCCGCCTATGGGAAAATTTGCCTTATCGAGATCGACGGAAAGGTCTGCTTCCGGATCCCCGGAAGGACTTCTTGAAGGAGGCACCTCTTCTGGACCTGTCGGACGCATCCGACTGGTCGTGAGAGGGGGGAGGTCTGTAGGAGGGGGATTGGAAGTATCTGGGGGGGAAGGAGGCCTGGGAGGAGGAACGAAAGGAACTTCGGCGAAAGGAGGGAGAGGGACCTCTGGGGTCGGGCCTCCGAAAAAGAGAGGGGAGGTACTTGCGGTTGTTACGGGTCTCGGCCAGAAGGGATCAAGAGCCGGTCCAAAAAGTTTCCCCCCAGAAATGGGAGCTGAGGCCAGCTTGGCCTTGTTTTTGACGTCCGCTTGCCAGTGGCGGAGCCAGAGCAAGTGGCGGGCGGTGACCTGGGACGAAATGGCCCTGGTGGAGAATTTTGCGGCTTGGAAGGTGGTGTCCGCCGAAAACTCAGCCGCGGCCGTGAGCTTAGCGATGCCCTGCTGCGCTCTGAGGTTGGCTGCGGGGACATGCTGTTTGAGCTGTCGAAGCCATTTGATAGAGGATCTAATAAAAAAGGACGCGGCAGTGGATGCTCTGACTGCCCAAGTGTCAGAATGGTGAGCGCGGCGCAGGGCCAGCTTGGCTCGTTTGTCCTCGGGCTTGAGTGCCTCGAGGGCATCGCTAGGAGTTGAACGGGAAGCTAGGCCTACAATAGGCTGGTCCACAGAAGGGGGATCGAGCAAGAGGGAGAACTGCGGATCAAGGTTGAAAAAACGCTTGTCCTGAGTGGTGGGAGGTGGAGGGGGCCCTGAGGAGGCAAGCTGCCTGGAGACCAGGTCGGAAAAAATAGGTGGAACAGGGATCACATCAGTCTCCACCACTGGCTGGGAAAAAATGGAATCGAGAGGTTCCCCCGAGGCCGCTGGCTGGGATGGAGTGGGGGGGGGGGCAGGCCAGAGGTATTTTTGGCCTTGAATAGAAGAGACCTAAACAGGTGCGGCTTAAACAGCCCAAGATGGCGGACGCCATGCGGCGCCCAAAATGGTGGCCGCGAGCTATTAGAGGCAACCCCCAACGGTGGAAGTCTCCCAGAGCGAAGAGGGAAAGCCAGAAGGCCGCAAGCAAAGGGAGAAGCAGGGGAGTTGATTTCCCCTGAGCTAAAAGGTGTTCGCGGGGGGGAAACAGCGATCGAAGTACAAGGCAGGCAAAAACGAAGCGGGTTCGCACGGAGCGAAGAAACGGCAGATGAAGGAGAGGGGGGGGTGCAGCGCTCGAGCGCTATCTTCTACCCCTGGAGAAAGAGAAATAAAAACTCCCCCCTTGAAACAAGAAAGGCTCCCTTAGGAGTTCCAACCTCAATTCCACTGCGCTGCTACAATAGAGGGTCCAATTTCAATGTATATAGCTGTGAAAATGCTGATCGGCCAGGAGCTGTGAAACAAACAGCCTGACTACCACGAGGCTGAGCTAAAAACTGGGGAACGTCCAGAGGACCACGTGATGGTGAGAGGCGTTCCTCAATTTCAAGCTCAGCCTGTGAGAGCCGAGACTGGAGCACCTCCCATCCTGGACACTCGTAGCAGCTCTATGGAGAAATGGTTGACTTTTATATTGCAACCATATAATAGAACAGTTTTAAATTGTTTATGCAGTATTTCTGAAAACATGTTTGAAATTATCTTGCAAATGACATATGATTGGGTCAGCTGAACTAGGCTAGAAGAATAACAAACCTAACAACCATGAACTAATTCACATAATCACTCACTGTGGTATGTAGTTCCCTTCCTTGCCATATTCATGACAAAAAAAATCAGTTGATGCATTAATTAGATGCCAGTACCAGTTTACATATTTGAGATAAATGTTTTTTTTAATTCATCTTCATCTCATGGTTGTTTGCTAGAATGGTAGAGTCAAAACAGCTAGATGAGATTGCTCGGACATAGAAATATTTTCTTTTCTTTTCCTAACATTCATTCAAATTATTTCCTAAATAATAGTTGCAGAAATAGAATAAACTCAGTTCATTATCACTGGTGGAAGGGAGTGGCACTAAGAAATAGAGTTTGAGACCACTCTGTCTAGAAAGAAGTGTTGGGAATGTGAGGTACTGGCTTGCTATAAGGATTTGATATAAGGGACATATTGAGGCATAAGTGATTCAAACTTCTTTTACATTATGGGTTCTAAACTGAACAAAACCACAGTTTTGCATCTAATTTACTGATTTTTTTTATATTTAAGGGAGCAGTAACAGTACATCTAAGAATTTGTGTTTTATATTAATATTCCCTGGAATTATTTTTATACACCTTTATTTTTTTTTCTTTCAAAAATTAAAGTTACTGTTTTCGCCACAAAAAGTAGTTCTGTTGTCACCTGCACATATTTAATTATGTGTCCAGAGGCATTCAAACTTCTCTCCGTCCCACAAAGGGCTTCTAGTCCATTTTTAAACTTGAATTTTTGAAGATTATCTACCATCTTTTTCCTGTAGGATATTATCTGTTCCTTCTGAAATATCTTCAGGAATATCAAGGCTGGCTTCCCTAAACCAAGAAAAAGGCTTCAGTATTTCTGGATAATAACAAACATACTTGTATGTATATAACTTTTATAATATCGAATATTAGAACAGAGTTTAAAAGCTGTCTCCAAAAAAGCCAATCTTTCCACCTAGAACACAAAATGAAGAGTAGATTCAGCTCCCGGACAACTCTCTTTTTAAATTGTAGATACTAGTAGTACTACTACTTCTGAACAGGTATGCCCAGCCAAGGAATGCATAGCTGTTGACCTCCTGTGTGAGGCCTCCCACGGATTTTGTTCAGCTTCGCAAGACATTATGGAGACCTCATATGGTCTCTTGAATGGCATCATGGAGGCCTCAGAAAAACTTTGTGAAAAGCCAGCAGTGGAAGGAAGAAGGCAATGAAAATCAGCTCAGGGTGGCACAGCCAGTGGAATACAGAGCAGTCAAAAGGATTGAGATGGGGGGGGGGGTGTTGAAGTGAAGGTAGTGTGGCAGAGCAGCAGAAGCATGAGGTCCTCAACAGTGCAGTCCTTGCCTAAGCACACAACTGAGACTACCAGACCTATCATCATTAAGCAGTAGTCATGATATTCTGCCTAACAACCATTTTGTTTAGTGATGGAAATTCTAGAATTAGGAATGTTAAACCATGGTTACCTGAACTGATAAGACCAGTTTTGGGGAACCTTGGCAAGTTTAAGATGTACGGACTTCAAATCCAGGAATTCCCCATGGCTGGCTGGGAATCCTGGGAGTTGAAGTCCAGATATCTTAAACTCAAGCCAAGGTTGAGAAAACCGTTAGGCTGTTTATTCCCACTGCCTGCTATATTACTTAATGTTAACCATCAAGAATATTTATTTCACTTCAAAGAGTAACTACTTTATATAAATTTTTAGCTAAGTACAAATAGCCATGAATTGGACTGCTTAAAATAACTTGACTTCACCTGTCCTGATGATTATACTATGCTTATTCTATCAAGGACAAACAAATGGCTTGGCATAATTTACTTCGTAAAATATTTTTATCAATTGAATAAATAGACCCGCAGGCGTCAAAATATATGAATTCTTTAACAAAGTCATGCTATACATAGCATCACATATGCATACCTCACTGCATACAAATATCAAATCACATTATTGTGGAAGTAGAAAAGACCAATGAGTTATGCAGTCTGAAAACCAGCTTTTTTATATATAATGGAATAAGTCTGGTTTCTTACCATTTTGCCATCTTTAATGCATGTAACTCACTTTTCTTCCTTTTCTTTCTCTCAATAAAGGTTTCTCCAGAAACTTTTTGCAATCCCATTAGTAATGTTCCCAGAGAGCCACTGCCAAAAAACACCAGAGGAAATAAATGTAACTATGTGGGGCACAACCAAGCAGGAATCATGATAATTAAAGAATCAGACAATAATTTATAGAAATTCTCAGTCATCCAGATCATGGTTGTCCCAAAGATGCTTTTTCAAGCCCAAAGTCCAGTTGCCTCCTGAAAAAGCACCTTTGGGATGATTAGGCAATAACTACTAACACTTATATCTCTACATCTTTCCTAAACCTTTTCATTTTAAAAGGAATTTGGGAAATGAAGCCAAATTGTTTATCCATCATAAAAATAAAATCATCTTTGGATATAATATTTTAAGAAAAGAAATTACTAGCATATGTTTATTATTTAGCATGCAATACAACTGTTATTTGTATGTAATAACATTAAAAGTTTGGTAGTCTCTAATCATAATAAAAGCTACCTCCTTCTGCCCTAATTTTTCAAATGAAAGCATTCAAGAATGTAGGTTTTTAAAATTTCTTCCTCTGCAATGTCAGTGAATCAATAAGATTTCCAAGTAACCATGTCCAAAACTATGTTGTTAAATTGGTATTGTTGTTTTTAGTTATATGTAGCAGCTTCTTCACCAGAGGTGTTAAACTCATGACCCGCGGGCCAGATGCGTCACGTGCTGGACCCACTCCTGCCCGATTTAGCAAAGGGGGAAGTCCCAATATGTCACGTGATGCTGCTATGACGACGCGGGTTTCACACCCTGTTCTTCACCAAAGTACAAAATATAGATTTTGCAGTGGTTTTTAATCCAACTATAAATGTTGATTTCCATGTTTAGTTCTTTTACTATGTAAAAGTATTATATTACCTAAGGAGTATACTCATGTGGGCCTTCTAAAGGATTACAAGTTCACTAGGAAACAGAAGATCTACAACGTGCATCTATTTTGAGGGAAAACAGCAATTTTTCTCATTTCTCCATTATGAAAAGAATAATAGAGGCACCAGAAACTTCTGAAGAAATAGGCAGTAGCTTACATGGTTGTAATAGTTGAAGTTGTCTATTTTCCCTAAATCTCTGCTTAAAAGATTGAAACTACCCAATTAAATGATGAACTTTCCAAGCTAAAAGGCTTTATCAGAATGAATGGCCAAGGGATCCTCTATTTTAAAAATGAATAACTAGAATAACTATCTTTGATGCTGTTTATAATATAATTTTCACTGCTATCCATGTTAACACTGGTAGAAAAAAATACTATTTAATGAGATTGTTTAAGTTTTTAAAAAACTCTACAAAAGCCTGCAAAAAATAAAAATAAGTATGCCAGGATATTTATGAGAAAACAATATTTGCAAAATTCAGCAAATTGTTACATGAGAGTTTAGATGCCATCAAAAGAAATCAACTGAAAAGTAGCAATACAGATAACTGCTATGGTTCAACATGTATACACTTTTTGAGCCACCTACCCCAAGAGTCCTCCAATAACACTGCCTCCAATCAGACCTCTCAAACCCAACTGCATTCTGAACAAGCTGCCGGTACAAGCTAGAATAGAATACAATCAGACAAACTCAGTTCAATTTCAGTACTCTAAGGTCCTATGAAGTCATTTCCACTTCCTCCTTATCCTCATCTAGTCTAGTGAAATGTAATGCCAAGGCTGTACACATCATATATTCAATGTCAAATATCTACTTTTTACTAGTCAGGGCAACATCTTCTGCAGCAAACTTAAAAACATGGACAGTATGCACCCATACAAATCTATAGGGCTGTATATGTATCTTTAAAAGTCTCTCTTTCTCTCTCCCTGTGTGTGTGTGTGTGAGTTGTGTGTGTGTGTCTATAGTTGGATATGTATGGAAGAAATATTAGAATGTGGGCGTATGCATATGGATGTCCTATTTCAACATCTAATTCAACAGGGTAGCCATTACTTTAAAAATGTAGAACATAGCTTTTCTACCAAGCTTCTTTTTAAAATCTATACAAGATTTATTTAGTAAAAATGATTATACTGTTTCCAAGTTTTACTTTGCTAATATTACTTCCCATATTACAACTACTAACTGTAAAAAGTTGTCTCCAATAGCACATTCAAAAGAAACGTCTAGCAGACCTCATTTCGGTGAAAAGGAAAATAGCACTTCCCTCCAGACGTATATATGAAGCAGCAGATTCCAGGATCAATGTGATGCTTCATTCTGTGTTAGGAAAATTCTGGGCTCAATAGGTACATAGTGGAAATAATAAACAAACCTAAATTTCAACTCAGTTTATTACTGTAATTGGGGATTAGAGAAGGTAATGTTAGACTTTCTTCTCCAGAAACTTGAAAAAAATATGAAAAAAAGAACCAAGGAAAGCTGTAATATCTCATTATATCTTCTGCTATAGTGTAGATGTGCCTGTGTGGTGAGAGCAACAGCAGCATGGAGGATTTATGGTTTTTTAGCTTCCAGTATCCTTGAACATTGAAACTGAAAGTTGCAGTGAGTAATTTCAAAAGTTTAAAGGCGTTGTCAGTAATATCTATAAGCAATGTTCAATTTACAAAGCAGTAAGTAAAAAAGTAAGAAAACACAATTTCAGCATGTAAATTATTACAGGCTTCCACAACTCAAGCTGAAATAAAAACATATTATGGAGAAGGCTACAATAAAATATTAGGTTTGTCATATTAGTCACCAGGATTTTTTAGGGAACTTCAGTAGAAATTCAGCAGAGCCTTTCTATATCAAAGGGCCGTTGCAGTTTCCAAACAGCCAGTTTATACTCACAGAACATTTAGATCAAGATCTATGGGATATATATTTTTGAGTATTTGAATAACTCAAAATATAACACAGATCAAAAATGATGTTAATTTTCTCCAATCAATAGTCTTACCTCCAGCAATAGTATAGTGACCAAGGGTACTTTTACCACGATATACAGACAAACAAGTATTCACTGTGCTGCAAGAAGGAGAGAAATAATAAGCAAGAAAGAACAAGAACTTTAGGAAGGAAGTCTGAAAAGTCAAAACATTGGCTTGTTATTTTTCTGGCTAGGTATTTTTGTAATTTGCTAATAAAATACATATTGTCTTAAATGGGATGAGATAATTATATACTGTGAAATGTTTTACATTAGAGTTCACTTGTCAATAAAAAATCTATTTCTCAGTGAACATATATATATGGCTCGAAGCATAATTCACAAAATATAATAACTCTATTTTTCATCTTCATGAATATCTACCCAGAGGGAAGTTCATATATAATGAAAACTTATTTGTGATAATGAATGTGAAGTTCTACGTTATGAATTTGGAGTAATTTAGCAAAATGAGATAATATTAAATTTTAATGATGATAGTTTTGTTGTTTAATAATGCATTCATTTCTATTTTCAAAAAGAAACATTGGACTTTTGATCCTGTTTCAAAGAAATATTAGGTAGAAAAAAGATTATATATTAACAAATCCTACACAAACCCAGATTTCCAATGTTGTCAGTCCCTCCTGAATCCAATCTTGATGATTCTTTGCCAGCTTGAACATTTGCCCCCCCCCCCAGATGTTCATTCTTTTGTGTGTATATGGTACTTGTTATCTAAGGGGGCTAACTTCTAGGGAGCAAATGACTTAGGGCCAATTTAAAATGTAACCACTCTTTTTAGAAAGCTAATGTTCTAGGATAGTGGAATCAGAAAACTGATGTGTACAGAGAACCAATAACAATGCCAGTCAGATCTCCAAGTGGCCTCTAATGTTCTTACAAAAGTAACACTTTTAAAAATTACTCTTGATTTCTACAATCTTGTTTTATTTTTTGGAAGGAAACATCTAGTCTATTATACAATTCTTCTTGAAGTAGAAGACATAACCAAGCCCTGACTTTTACTTAGATCAAGCATACTGGTAGTTCTATTTTAATTGTATTTTTTCAATAGCGAATTTGAGAATAGAAATATGCTACTGAGGAAATAAAAGAGAATTAGGAATGCAGAAAATGCACTGCAGAAATGCAGTAGAAGGGGCACAGTAACCATTTTGCATCTAATATTCATAAATTACAATATTATCCTAGAATTGTAGGTTATTGTTGAATTGTAGAATCATGTATCATGAAGACAGCACCCTTGCTCATCTCCCACAGGTAACAAGAAATACACTTACTTGAATATTGCCACAAAAGCAGCAACTCTCCAGCTCCACCGCCAACCATATCGGATAAATCCCCTGATTGCTGAACGTTGCATAGATTGCTTTAGAGAAAGTAAGCAAAATTGTATGATGTTAAGGCATTCTATATCCATTACTAAAGTGAACTCAAAGTGTGATAATAGAAACCACACAGAAGCCCCATAAATTCTTTACACAATTCTGTTTTGTAAAAGTAATGTATACCTATCCAAACTTCCATTAATGATTAAACCTGATCACTGAAACAGATTAACTGTTGATTGCGAACTGAATTTAATACCATAAACTAGGATGGAAAAAATGTATACATTAATATATTTATTTATTAATATTTAATATATTAAAAGAATGTATTCTTTTAGTATGTGATTTGCAATATTACATTCAAAAATGCTGTCAGGAAAAATATATTATATAAAATGATGCTTGATTTCTGCTTTTTTTTTTGTTTCTCATGTACAAGGCGGCAAGCCACCAAAAAAAAAGTAAACTAGAGGATTACACTTAAATGCATGTTCTATTTTTGTCAAATATATCTGTCCATACCACAGCATCCAGCCGATTATGATAGAGTTCTCCTTCACATTGCTCAATGTACTGTTTTTTGGCATTTAAATATCCAGGTATACCGCCATAGACGAAGCCAACAAGACTCCCCGTAAACGCTGCTTTAATTATATGCACAGATTCTTCTGGGTATTCCTTTTGGTCACTGCAAAAGAAAATATGTTTCGGGAAACGTATTCAGAAACTGTTTTATGAAATTAGCCATGTCCTTTGGAATAATAATTGCTGGGATATGCAGGGTAGGGCAAGGCTGGGGCTGATTTCGAAAAAAGCATTTCATTCTTGAATTATACGCGTTCCCTCCCGCCACCCATTGGAGCTCCAAGGCTACGGCTCTTCTTCTTGGCTATTCACTCACTTCCGCCGAAAGAGCTCTCGAATTCGTTCCCAGCCCGAGTTCGGAGGCTGCAGCCAAGGTGGCGAGCCCTCCAGCGCTCCGAGCGGCTCAGGGACCGGACCGGCGTTTTCTTCACCCAACCCGGTCAGCGGACGTGCTGTCCTCTCGCCCGGCCGCTCCATATTTGCCGGCACCTGGCCGGGAAGTCTTTGCGAGAGTTTCCCTTCTTAGCATTAACGCCTCGAAAAGAAAAGTGCGCCACTCTGTCGCCTTGGAGGATGTAGCGCACCCTCTTCGTACCCCATAGGCACGAAGTCTCCTGAAGCCTATAGGAGACACGAAGCCTGAAAAAGAAGCAGCGCTGAAAAGCGGTCCGTATTTTTCTCTTTTATCTTTAGAAATAGCACTGACTCTTTAAATAAAAATGGACAAAAATAAAACAACGATGAAAGACCTCCCTTCCTCCTTTCTCTCTCCTGCCTCCCCTCCCCTCTTTCTGTCTGCCTGCGGTTAGAAATACGTCATTCTTTTATCCTCAGTGCCATCTCCTGTATTCTTTTTAATCAGGAAAAAGCAAAACAAAGTACGCTTTATTCTTCCTTTCCTCGCCAGCCAGGTCTTGCTTCTTAGCCTTTTAAACTTTTTCTGTCCAACGCCTCGAAACTCCTTCCTTGCACCCGTGGTTTCCGCTATTTTATTCCCGCCATTCAACTTTCTCTGAGATCTACTGGTTTAAATTTGTGTTACTGGTTTGACGCTGCATTTCCCCCCTCCACATCTTATCTCTGAGACGGGAATCCAGAAGGTCCTTCAAAAAGTTCTCTGCTTCAACAAGACTTGGTGGACAAAGATCTTTTGTTGGACAGTATGTGAGAATTGTATTGGAAAAGCTTAAAACATGTTTTGCTTCTTCATCCCATTCCAATGTAGGTGGACAGCATGCACTTTTGATCTGCAGGAAGTTAGCACCCACCCCTCTCCTAGAAAATTGAAATAGCCTAGGAAATATTAAAAAGGCAGAATATTTCCTCTAAAAAAGAGTAGAAACTCAGAAGCAGAAACTCACCCCCATCTTTGTTAATGGCTGGGCCATTAAGGCCTGGGCCAGAATACTTTACATAACAAAGACCTGCAGGTACAGCTATAGCAATTTCCAAAAGTCCTTTCAAGGGCATAATCATCCAGCAAGACTCAACTAAGCCTGGGACTCAGGACAGCCTACAGAGTTGCCCCTGCATGGCCCCATGGGGGTCTGACAACCAATTAGAATACAAGCTCCAATTCAAATCCCAACAGGGGGTATAAAACCCAGGCACTCACAGCACCTTTCTTGATCTCTTCCTTCACCTTGAAGCATGTGATTATCCTTTCTTTTCACTCTGAAGCTCCAGGCCATGTGGTCCTACTGTCCCCTATTAAACCTTCCAAACAGCCTCCATGTTTCCAGTGTCTTTTTCCCCACTTGAAACTGAACCCAGAAGGATATTTCTTCCAACAGATCAGTAGTGCATCCTTCAAAAGGTGTTGCATCTATGGTTGCAGGGCTGTTACTTAGTTTGGTAATGAAACATCTGCAAGGAAACAACCAAGATCACAGAGCATCAAGATCCCCACAGTTCAACCCTGAGCATTCCACTTGCCAGGGAACCAATAGCTCATCACTCTGAGAAGATTGTCCTATTTTAAATTATTAAAATTTATCCTAAATATGGTAGTGGTTGATTAATGCAGGAAATGTAACACAGGAACCCAGAACTCACACAAGTTCAAAACTATTCAGTTCTTTTGATTAATATAGTTTCAAACATTAGCATAGTAATAGCCTGAAGCACCCTCTATATAGATTATGAAAGCTGGAAAAGATGTTCACCTGTGTGCAAACCACCGATTCAGCATGAAATTCCTAGTGTTTGAATCCCAATGAATAGTTCTTTAAATGACATTTTAGGTTTATTGTATTGCGTAGATTTAAATGGGACTCTGTTTTGGTTTTTAACCCAGATCTGTTTTGTTATAAAATTTGACTAAAGGGATCCAAGATGACATATGTATGAAATCTACCTAGTAAGAATGTGAAACTTAAGGAGCTAAAGCAATCAGAAAACAGAAACCCATAGTGAAATAGATTCTTTAATTTGAATTAATCTTTTGGACATTCATGATGTTGCAATCATTAAGAAAATAATATGGATAAAAGAGAACATGAAGACTTAAGAGTTCAAGCCACTGTCCCCATTTCAGAAAAAAAAAATAGAAACTGTACTTTTGCAAAAGATGCTGTTTTTTCATCTGGGATTACAAATAAAGCATCCCTATGACTAATATACTGCTCACTAATTATTAATTAAAGCAGTAATTGATTAAACAGTATGTATGAAGTATGACTTATTACAGATTGTTTAAATGCAGCCAGTTCTCCGTAGGCCAGTCCTCCAGAGCTGGACAAAAAAAAAAAAGAATTAGAGGTAATCCACAACTTACGACCACAATTGAACCCAAAATTTCTGTTGCTATGCGAGACAGTTGTTAAGTGAGTTTTGCCCCATTTTATGACCTTTCTTGCCACAGTTGTTAAATAAACCCCTAAATTAAGTTAGAACATGATTGCTAAATGAATCTGGCTTCCCCACTGACTTCACTCATGAGAAAGTCTCAAAAGGTGATCATTGCAACCGTCATTGGTCAGCTGCCAAGCAACTGAATTTTGATCATGTGACTCAGAGATGCTGCAATGGTTATAATGTGAAAAATGGTCATAAGTCACTTTTTTCAATGCTATTGAACCGTCACTAACTGAACTTTTGTAAGTCAAGGACTACTTGCATTTGATTACAAGCTTTCCAGAAGTGTTCAGTAGCTTATTTTAGAATGATGGGCTTAACCGATGAATTAAACTGTATCAGGAATGTACTGGTACATTAGACAACATGGAATTCATTGTTTTACAACAATTCAGGATGATTTCATTGGTAGGTTAATGATTCACTTAGCAATTATGACCCACAAAGTAGGGTCAATATGACACTGGTGAGTCAGTAGACATGAGTAACAATTAAGAAATTTTTAAAAATTTCCACCCTCTTCTTAACATAACTTTACTGACCACAATATAAAATAGAATTCACAGTCTCCCATTATCATTTAATACATTGCAGTAAATAGCAACAATATTCTTCTCTCTTTAGTTTGTCAACACACCGAACTTCCACCGGTTAAAGGAACAATTCTCCTTTCCTGATTTTAAAATGTACATCATCCTGATTGGAAGTGTTTTTTTTTTTTTTTTTACAGTTCAGTTTTCAAAGGTCTGGGCAGTATCTCATTATAGTTGTTCTTCCGTTTTACTTTATAAGTCAAGGCTTTAGAATACTCCTTTAGAAGTTGCTCCCAGTAACAAGAGATATCTTCCATTTGCAAGTGGTCCATGATGAACTGGTGACCCCTAAGAACCAAACAATCAAGCAAAGAAGTCAATTGCTTTTCTAATTCAATACTCGATTTTGAATTCTAATTCAAAAGTCAATAGCATCAATTGCTTTTCTAATTCAAAAGCTGAAATATACAACTGTCTATTAAAAAGAAAAAAAGCCTAGCATTATATGTCTCTCCAGGAATCTGTAATTTTATGACTTATTCCTAAAATGTAAACACGTATTTAAAAATCAAAGCCAGGCTTATACATATAATTCAAATTGATGTAGTCCTGGAAGTGCCACCTGCTGTAAAGAAAACAGAATAAATCTCTTCCAATTGTGGAAGTAAACATGAAATGATGTATAATTATTGGCATTAGGACTAAATAATGTTTAAAGGTCTTCCTCCTGAAAGACTTAAACACATCCTAGCAATTATTTCTAAATTTACATGCAGTACAAATAAGATAACCTTTATTGTCACATTTTTTACTGTGGGCACTCTGGCACACATTAAAAATGAAATTATGTTGCCTGCTCTCAAAAGTGCACATATATACACTATATACATACAGATATGCTATATACATACATATGTATATACCTACACCCTAACATATAAATACATATAAATTTTAATCACTATCCATCTTGAACACATTACGGAAAGAGGAAGCTTGAATGTTCACAAGGTTGATACTGCATAAAACAAAACTCTGGCTGAATCTGGATGTTGTGCTTTGAATACCATGAAGGCTCCTCCCAGAAGGTAACAAGGAAAACAGGTTGTGAAGATGATATATAACATCCCAGACAATCCTGCGGACCCTGCTCAAGCAATGCTTAGATGCTATGTCCTGGATAGAAGGGAGTGATTTGCCAAAATTCTTTTCTGCCATCCCCACCACTCTCTGCACTGTCTTCCTGTCTGCAGGTAGTCCTTGAGTTATTTTAATTGGAACCAGAATTTCTGTCACTCAGTAAGGTGGTCATAAATGTCAACATCATATGTACCTGTTGTTTAGCTCCCCATTGCCATTGTCAATAGAATTTCTCAGGTTGTTAGGCGAGGAAACATTCAAATCCAAGTCATTCTGGGCTTGGTCAACTCTTGGGCCTCAGTTCTTCCAAAGTAAGAGATTGCCTCTCCTTTAATTTCCCCCAGCTGCCTATTCTCTACCACCTGTGCCCTTTTTGTCACCCTACACTTTGCCTTACAAGGTAGCAATCATCCCCAGGTTGGCCCATCAGTGCAGCACAATACTGAAACTGCCCCATGAAGCCTCAAGTCAGCTCAGCCCTGAGGTCTACTGTCATGTGCTCTGCTGCCCTAGCTGATCTTCACCATCTTCTTGCTCCTGCTGCTGCTGAAGGGTTTTTGACCTAAACCTTTGTGAAGCAGCTCCTGCCTACAGGAGGCCAATTTCCCCTGATCTCTGGAAGAAATGCATGATGCAGGACTTGGAAAAGAAAGCCTTGTGCAGTCAGCAACTGCCTTGTGAAAGAGCATGCTTCTTCAATAGCAGGAGCAAGACGGGGATGTCAGCTAGGGTGGCAGTGACTGAAATAAAAGGGGCCAAAATGGATAGATGGGGGAGATAGGCTGGTGGGGAATGAAGCACCCCTGCAGATGTAAGTGCAAGCAGATTGTGGAGCACCTGAATTTTGATCCTGTGATCATAGGGGTCTGCAAAGGCCATAAGTTTGGAGACTGAGCTTAAGTCCCTTTCTTCAGTACTATCATAACTTTTATATTACCATTATAATCTTGGGAAGGTCTTATGGACTTCATTATCAAATCTATTTTATACCAAGGAATTCCTACAATTAAAGCATAGCAGTAATAAGAGCTTACCTCTCAGAAATTTTTTGAGCAACACCATCATTTTCACTTACAAATTCCAATAGCTCTCTGAAACATACATTTGGATACAAATCAGAAAATGTTAGGTTCTTAAGATTGACTTTAGGCAGAATAAATACGAGCAAAAGGGAAGTCTGTTACATTTAATTGATTGTGTTTAGTTTGCTTTTTTTCAACTTGCTATTTATGTCCTGGTTCATTTCTTGGAGTTTTAATTCAATAGAACTCTAAACCTTCCTTCAATAAAGCCATTAAGATACAATAAAATACAACATAAAAATAATGTAATATAAATTAAATAATCAAATAATTGTGTTAATGAAAAGAAAGGAAGGGCATCAAGAATAAAATATCAATCACAATCCATTTAGATATTTGGCCCCATGCATATATGTTTTTTATTTTGCCTTTAATTAAAAAAATAAAATTGTACAATACAAAAATAAAAGGAAGGAAAAAAAGCAAAGCAACTATATAAGTGTGTGTGTGTGTGTGTGTGTGTGTGTGTGTGTGTGTGAATGTATATGAATTCACACACAAACACAACACACACAGTTTTATACAACAGTTTCAGCGAAGGATGATATTTCATTACAATCATCCATACATAATTATGCCTATAGCAACTCATTGCTAACTCATGAGAAACACCAGCTCTTCAATCCACCGAGTAATTCGAATCATAAATTTATCATCCCAATTTGAAGGTCAGAGTCATGTAGAATTGGGCACTTATGAAAACCAACAAGCAAGCAACCAATCAAATAAATGTCTTAGCAGTAATAAGGTAGCAGAGAATCCAGTTTTATTGTCTGGCCACCATTTCCAAGCAGTGGGTATTTAATTTTTTAAAAATGTATAAAATATTAAATCTTGTCTTATTTTTATTATTATTGTACAGTATAATCATTTTCCCAGAGTACAATAGCAATAACACTTAGACTTATATACTGCTTTACAGTGCTTTACAGCCCCTCTCTAAGCGTATACAGAGTCAGCATATTGCCACTACAATCTGGGTCCTCATTTTACCAACCTCGGAAGGATGGAAGATTGAGTCAACCTTGAGCCTGTGAAACGTGAACTGCCAAACTACAGGCAGTCAGGAGAAGTAGCCTGCAGTACTGTATTCTAACCACTGCGCCAGCACAACCAATTAAGGGCATGTAAAAACATTTTAATAGCTTTATTCCCAATTGATCAACAAAAATATGATTTACTCATTCTTTCCTATGCAACAAGTCTGAAATGTTTTTTTTATTAAGCCATAGTTTTATTAAACATTTTAAAATTAACCTAAATATCAAACATTATCAAAATTTCATATGGACATTAAGACAGTTTCTCATTATTTAAAATGTAAATTGCCAATTCCTTATTCCAATCAGTTTTTAAAACATGCCAGTCAAAATGATTTATGAACTTTTCTGTCTCATAATATTTAGTGATTACTTCTAATCATTTAGGTGTGCCTGAAGCTGAAAATGCTGATGTTCCAAATCTAGCTATCAAAACATTCACCATGTAGATCATTTTCCTGGGAGATATAAAAGATATTGTTTATGATGGCAATTGAAATCAGAATTGATTTATATATTTTATATAAACACATACAGACACTATTTTAAAACTGCCCATATGTCTCATAGAATGACTCTGGGTGACATACAAATAGAAACTTTAAAACTATATATATATAAATATTATAATCAATTAAATTAAAACAGGAATAAAATAGTTAGGCCAATAATAGGAATTGGCATCACTATAAAAGAAGGTCATAATGTGGAATGTTATGTGACTGTACAGTTTAGTGACTGGTTCTGGCCATCCTGGCTGCCATTGCTAAGCAAGAACTGTGAAGGTGAAGTTTTTAAGCAAGAATATCAATTGCCAGCATCCCCACTGACTTTGCTTGTGAGAAGCTGGCAGGGAACACTGGGAGTTGTGACTGGGGCTTGTTTAAATCTCGTCATTCTGAGTGGATGCGGAGTGCCCAGATCCCAATCACATAAACATGGAGATTTCACGATGTGTGGCATTCCAAGGACCACTTGAAACTACCACTTATTCAGTGTTGTTGTTAAGTTTAAACAGTTGTTGAACAACTGTTGTTAATGAAGGACCACCTTTAACTGGAAATCCCTTTTATAGCAACTAAATTTCTATCTATAAAAATAGATTTCATCTAGTCTCAATCATATAAAAACCAGTTTAATCCAGCCTAAACCATGGAATGCATTCTGTATGAATCTATCCTTGAAGGTAGTGCATAGATTTTAATTCAGCTATCTCTGCCTCATTGAAGATTTTGTCAAATATGATGCATAATCCTAAATAGTTTTGTATTATTAATATTTTACACAAATAATTAGTTTTAACTGTTTTAACTGTTTAACTGCAGTTTTAACATCTCACCTCACATTAGAAAGATCAGATTGAACTGGGATATAGTGAACCCAAGGTTTCAGTTGTGGATAGAAGAATTCTTGCCAATCTTCTCCAACATGAAAGATCAAAGAACCACACAGGAAAAGGTGTTTGAAACGAAAACTGGCTGCAACTCCTCGAAAATTGAAGAGGTATCTTATATTAAAAACAAACAAACACTTGTCTTAAAGTATGGCTCTTGTCCAATAATGAGAATATTTATATTTATCTTACAGAAAGATAAATTTATTTTACTCTTCTACAAAGTGAATCTATAGTATAATCTTAATACTGTATGATAAAAATATTTCATTCAAATATTGCCACAGAAGCCAAAACTAGAAGCAGTAAATGCAAAGTCTAAATTGTTGCATCTTCTCTACTCTTCATTTAATCCTTGCTCCTTGCTCCTACTTGAGCCCATATAAATAAATGAACATACCATAAAGCATGTATGTATATTTCAGCTAAAATGTTCACCAATCTCTTAACAACCACAGTGGAGCTAAAAGAAGTAAGAGGCTGCATTCTGCCAGTACAATGAAAAGTCTCCAAATGAAAGAATTCCCAATTTCTATTCTTAGCAATGTTTTGCTCTTTGCAAGAGATGCCAAGTCATTTAAAATACCAGTCTCTCAGTGGCATCATTTTATCATCTAAACATAACTGAAAATTCTTGCTTTACCACCCCAGGGGCCTGTGATGACTAACTCCTTTGGTTCTGGGTATCACAGCAATTACAGATAACCTAAGGAGTTTAATCATATCAATTACTTATTAATGCTGAATAGCCTACAGGAGATACAGAGAGTCTTAGAGATTCCTGGAATACATTCCTTGAATTACAGTAACCCAGCTGTAAATCACGAATGACAGAAACTCATAGCACTACAACTCAAATAGAATATTTAGAAAAATTAAATCTGCACAGTACCAATAGCATTTATATGTTCCTAACTCATAAAAAAAATCAGGACATAACCATGAAGTTCAAGCAAACAATTAAAACAGAACTATCGGCTAAGGGTTATTGGATGGGAATCCTGGCCTTCAATGCCAATCTAAGAGCTAGTTTTTCAAAATTTAAGGCTAGTATTGATACGGGTACCAATGAATTTCATGACAATTCCATTGCTTTCAGATATTTACACTGAACTGACATGTATTCAGATATTTACCAAGATTGAATCAAATACATACTTGAATTTACAATGGTCTACCAGTGGAACTTCTGTTGCAGGTGGTCTCCCAAGAGTATCCTTTTAAAAAAAAGGTTTGTTTTTTTTAAATGTCTGTAATCACTTTCCTAAAAACTATAATAGAAATGTTATACAAAAAGATGCAGTATTTACACATTTACACAGATACACATTTTTTTTCAATAGAATATATCATTAAAGTTATTACTGTCAGCCAGACAATCTAAGGACTAACTAGCTAAATATTCATTAATTTTCTTAGAGTGCAGCCATAAACAAGCTTTCTTAGAATGTTCATTGATTTTTTTTCTTCCAAATAAGCATTCATTCACATACACAAACGCTGTGTAGTATTTTTATTTCACATATGCAAGAAGCTGTGGTTTTCTTTAATCCATTTTCCTGTCTTGCACTGATTAGAACTGCCATATTTAATATAAGTTGTTTATTTATTCAATTTATATGCTAATCCATTTTTGTAGACTCTGAGCAGCTGGTCAGATATGCCCCAAGACTTCTCATCACTTTCCATATAAATAACTGCAGCTGTGAACTGTTATTTTTAATACAGAATGCTTCAAAATACAGAAATAATTATAAACCCTTAAGGTTTTAAACTATGCAGAACTCATATCGACCTAAACGTTAGTTCCGATCCTGGACATCTTTCTTTTTATGATGAGATCCAATACCAACGCATTAATAGAGTACAGTACAAACTTGAGAATAAACTGAGAATTTTACTATTGGTGCCAAAATGCATCTCCAAAAATGGCTTTGGCTTATCTGCAGACTGGCTTATTCACGAATATAAACAGTAATAATTTTTAAAGCACCCATATTTGCTATATATATTCATATATATAAGCCCATCTATGAATCAGCAGAGATTGATGGATTTTGAGTGAAAAAATTGATTAAAAATACCATTAAAAGATGGATTACTATATCAATGGGCAGCACATTTTTCATGGTATTTTAATTAAAAAATTAAGAGTTGTCTTATGTGTAGATGGGCTTATAAGTGAACATATAAAATAAAGTCGTTCCAAATCAGTTTCAGGGATTAGTAGACAAAAATAGCAGTTGCCAATATATTCAGAATATAGTATTCATTTCTTCCTCACCATCCCCTAACTTCTGCTATGTGTGCCTGTAAAAATATATTTCACAGATGGGAAGTTGTGAGGCAAGACCATCAAAACCTTACTAGATTTAAAGTAATTTTTGTGGACTACGAGCTGGAAACACACCACTGAATGAGATCACCTGGCAGTACTGGAACCTGAAAAGGCTGCGGCCCTATGTTACATTATTTCGTATATGTAATAGGCACTACCATAATTGGACATTAAACTCCATGACTATGTAATAAGCATGCTCAGTAAAACATACTAGGAAAACAAGTTCTTGTTTACAAAAATCAGAGAGATAATTATTGTTATTTAATTTACCCCCTATGGTGCCAAATCAGGCATCCTGATGTTGGGAAAAAAAGAGACTAAAGAGATAAAAAAGATGTGGAATAATCTATTTGACATACCATTAGCGCCAACATATGTCTAGACTGTATGAATATACTATGCTCATAGCAATCTCTTACAACAATGTATACCCCTTGTCATATTCACAATAAAGGCTTATTTTGAAATTTCTTTTAAAAACTTCCTTTAAGGGTTACTTCTTGCAAGTATGATTTGAAATAAGTCCACAAGGAATTCAAACACATTGGGCATGTTTATGCATGTGACTGATAAAATCCAGGTTGGTATGTGGGGTAGCATGATGTAGACGTATTGCTAGCATTAGGTTTCAGATGTTTTCAGTTTATTCCCACATACCATCATATCAAGGCCTGTGTTCCATAATAGCGATAGCTCTTATATACTTATATACCACTTCACAGTGCTTTACACCCCTCTTTAAATGGTTTATAGAATCAGCATCTTGCTCTCCCAACGATCTGAGTAAGAAAAATTTGGGAAATTTTTTTACTGACCTTGGAAGGTTGGAAAGCAGAGTCAACCTTGAGCCCTCAGAATCAAACTCCTGGAGTGAGCAGTGAGTTAGCCTGCAGTACTGCATTCTAACCACAACTCTTATAATCACAATAATTGCTCAGCTTAATCAACTTTACAGTGGCTGCTGGAATAATCAAATTGGAAGAAGTAATACAACTTACTGATTTACCTATTTATTTACTGAAGCTTATATACTACCACAATCAAAAAGGACTGAGCAGTTTACATTCCTTCTTTGGGAAAAAAGTATAATACAACAAAGAAACAACTAACCACAGAACAAAAAAATAATAATTAAAAACATGTACCCTGCTATACATATATCAAGAGCATAATGCTGTATTTAAAGGAGATTTCACATTTAAATATAAAATTCAGTTGTATACCACATATTAAAATAAGTCGTACAAGTCCAGTGGCAGTCCCATCAGTCTTTGATAGTAAAGGAATCAACTATAGTAAAATAATAGATAATTTTCAACCTGTCAAAAATATATTCTTTCCCTTGAAATAGAAAAACTTGAAATGTACTAATGATTGTAAATATTTGAAACTCCATCTGACTTCATGATGGATTATTTTATTGTCTCTTATAAGAGAAAGGAAAAAGAATAATAGTGTTAGTACTAATAGTAATAATAACATTTGAATAGTATTCCGTAGTATTTACTTTTTCAGATTTCCAAGCTTGATTCTTAGTGTACTCCGCATCAACAAGATCCGGATTCTCTCGAGAAAGAAGAATGAGGGGGTCCCGTTCTGCACTTGTCCTACCACAGAAATCACACAGAACCATTAGATTGGCTTTCTTCCAATTTGACACTTTTCAAATAAATTGGTCAATAAATCATATAATTCTAAAGTGAGCAAGTGAAAATTATAACTACCATCCATTGGTTTTCTGGGACTTTACTTGGAAAGATCAGCATGTCAGAAACCTTTTATTTGCCTACTATTAGTGTCTCTCATTATCAGTTGGCTCCCACTACCTTCGGCATGGTATTACATAGTAAAAACATTCCTGAACATAGCCGTACCAAAAGTACTGGTGCCAAGAAAATAACAGAGATAAGTCTACATATTCCCCAGGAGCTGATATCAACTCAAGGAAAACAACTCAAGGAAATATACATATATTTCAATGGACCAATTTAATTTCCCTGGGCAGCGCAACACAATATAATAATTATTTATAATATTAGGACTATCAAAGTACGTGAAAGAAAAAAAAAGCTCACCTGGATCCTCGAAAATAGGCTTTGGGAATTTTCTTCTCCCAGGGCCATTTTTCTGCTGACCTAAGAATATTTTGATAAATACACAGTATTAAAATACTGACATTAATAGTTAATAGTAGTCAATAAAAAACAAGCATACTGATTTTTATTCATTCACTTGATTCTCTTGATTTAGTTTCAGGACTTCTGTACAAATCATACTTTAGTTTATATTTATGCAAAAATATTGAAAATTAAAAAGGGCTCACAAACGTTTAAGCACTGTTGTACTTCTGATATTGCTTTTCTGTTTACTTGCAGCTCATTGGGTGGAGACTAAATAGGATGCCAAAAAGAGAAAGAAAGAAGAGGTTGCTGCATTCAATCCCAGAATCCAATTCCCAACAGCATCTACCAAGGAAATGCCATCCACCAAATCAAAACAAATCTCTGCATGTGAATTTTCCTACTGGCTTTCTAAAGCTTGTTTTTTTTCTACCTTCTTCATGGATTTTTCTCAATCTGAAGCAGAATTACATCATTTTAGATTAGCTTGACCAACATGCATTTCTTTTGAATTATACAGTCTGCAACTAAAGCCTGCAGCTTTCATTTAACAAAGTATAAGTTATTGCTCAGAATGAGTAACTGGTCCACATGGCCCTATTACAATTTAAATTTGGATTCTTTCATTTAAAAAAAAATACAACAAAATTATTCTCTCCTCGGATTACCTTTGGAGGTTTTCTCTCATTAGGTCCCAACGCCCAAGGCCTGTAGGATATATTGGCCAAACAGCTGGTCCCCCTTCCCAAAATGTCCAGGCAGGGTACATAATATCATCGTATTCTGAAGTCTTTGAGAGAAAAAGGAGAGCAAAGCATGTTAGTTATACCAAAATATTCCATTTCATACAAGAGATTCAATGAAATATAGTATTTATCCTATCTAATGTGATTGATCAGTAATAGGTCTCTGTTCACTCACCTTGCTAAAAGATAAAACAGGCACTCTTGGTTTCATAAATTTGGGCACCTGGGGGTAGTCCCGCACATTGATGACCATCTCCATATCAGGAAGGTTCTGAATAATTTCCAGGATGAAGTGCTCAACCCCACTACATCTGTAGGCAATCAAATATCAAAAGGGTAACTTTGAGTAGAATACACTGGCTATGTTTTACCCATCAGACTAAGGTGGTTAATTGGTTATTTAAAAAAACAAAACAAAACAAAGTCAACCTCACAGATGACCAAAGCAAGCAAAGGAGTTCACTTGGAAAATTATTTTTTTCCTTTCCTTTTTTAAAATGTTCTTGCTGAAAGAGGTTTGGACAGAGCATCAAAACAAGCCCCCCAAAAGCCAGGAAGGCTAGAGCAAGGATGTAACATGAGTAAATTTCTCAAACAAGTCTCTCTCCAGTTCATACAAGCATAAAGGGGGTCGGGAGTGGGGGGAGGAGGATTCACAGATTAACATCAGTCTATTATTATAGCTTTCCAATAAAGATAGTACCGACCTAAGGCATTGATTTCTTAGTCTGCTATACTTTGAGGGCTGAAACTACTACAGTTTCAGTCTTTCTGGAGGTGGTGTCTTCTGATCTGGTTTACCTCCAAGGGTTGACAGAAGTAAACAAATGGTGCCCAACTCATTCATGCTGCTTTTATGTCATTTTAATTAGCATGAATCTAAGCAAATTAGATTAAATTTTTATTTTATTTTCGTTGAACAGTTGTTAACATTTGAGTAAACATTTACTCAATAGCAGACATCCACAATGCTTAGAAAAAAAGAAAAAAAATTCAAAAGGAGATAAATGTACCATATTTACTTAAAATGTGTATAAATAAAAAAGACGTTTTTAAACATTCTGTTCAGAATTTGGAATAGTTCCCATGTATAGAGTACACATACTAATCTAATCAGTGTCAAATACTAGTAATAAGTTTTTCCACTGACGCTCTTGTAGAAAAACTAAAGTGAATCTACCTGATTTCCATACCTCCCATTTCTTTAATATCACTATCTCATCACTTCCTTTAAAGCTAAAGTGTATATATCTTAATTGCAATAATAGTCTATAAATTTTTGACATTTTACCCCTTTGGTTGTTCTAAATAATTATCTCTTGTATTTTCAAAAGCGCTAGAATGGCGAATTACTAAAATTCTAATCTCATTAGAAAATAATGGTTAAAATTACCAGAAAAATAGCTGATTGTTGCTCTATTTGTTCTTTACTGAGAGGCTCCAGATTACATCTCACAAGTTTTTTTTATAACATAATAACCATACCACCATTCATCTAACACTGGGGTCCCCCATCCCACAATCTGATATTGGGTCATGGTTTGCTGGAAACAGGGCCATGCAAGCCATGGGTGAGGGTCTGAAGCACCATTTATGCAAGCATCCCCCCCTCCAACTCCCGCAATGCTATCCACAGAACCAGAAAGGTTGGGGACCACTGATTTAAAAGATATAATCCACTCAACTTGCATTCCTAAATAATATTTCAACCAGTTAAGATTTAACACTGTGCTAAATATCAGAAAAGGTACAGACCTCCTATCCTATGGAAGGATGTCCCATAAGAGGCAAAATGGTTCATCAAAAGTAGGATGAAGTTGACGTGGTTAAAAGAAAATGTTAAAATGGGCTGAATGACCAGACTCAGATTGGATAAAAATTACACCATTCCAATGACAGGAATAGGATGGAAGCATTGCAAAGATGAGAACCTGGGCTGAGCCGGGGGGGGGGGGGGGGGGGGAGGGGCGGGGGGGAGAGAAAGCACCATACCATTAACTGATATTATAAAGAGTGCTTTTTGTTTTACTTCCATCATAAAGCACATAAAATAAAGCCACAGGCCTTTACCTGACAATCCAGCAACTATAAGTAATAATACATAACAATTATTCTTTTCCCTCATTTATTTATTCCTGATTTCTTTTAGCTTTTAATCCATATCATCTTCTTGCACAACTAAAGTGCAGTGTCAATATTGATTTCTCACAAAAGCAAATCCATTTCAAGCAAGGTAATACAAAATTGGTTAGTTCCTTTACATTAGAGTTCAGCCCTTCCAAACACTTTCTGCTCAATGATCCATAAATTAATGGCACAAGGAGATTTTCCTGTTTTTCTCTCTTGTTCTCTTTTTGAGTATATGATTGACAGATTTCATATCTCACCTTGCAGGGAACATGCAATCATGTTCCCGGTACAACTTCTTCTCAATGATCTGATAGTGTGTCCCAAGTTTTCGACGGATTGCTTCTGACAGCAACTCCTCAGAGATTCCATCTCGAAAAGGAGCCAAGTCTTGCTCCCTAACTCTAAAGTGAAAGAGATTGTTAAATACTAGAGGTTAGTGTAATAACAGTTAACAAGAAGGTTAGGAATAGTTTTGCTTGGCGAAGATTCAGTGCGGATTTGGAATCAACCATACTAAGGGGCAAGGTGAAATAGCAAATGAGGTAGAGAAGATTCAGTGTTATCTCCAGCTACCTCCAGTCATCTCCCCAACAATTCCCATTCTCCGTAACATTTGTCTTGGTGGCTGCTGTTATATTTTTAGTTTGCTGAATATAGTTATTTTACTTTGTCATGGATGTGGGAACAGTCCAACTGGATGAGGATGCAGAGAGCAGGCCAGCTGGCCATGCCATGTATTTTCATGAGTTGTAAGAAAAATTTTGAATATTTTAGGATGATCAGTAATCGAGCTATATGTCTGTATGACACAAGTTTCAATTAAATACTAGTATAGATCAAGAGATTCAGGTTAAACAAACAACATACAGAGCAGTATGTCATTTTATCTCCACAGTGAACCACTATTCTGTTTCTGCTGGAAAATTCTTTTCTTAAACTATAGTTTTTATCGCTGGTGGCACCCCCTTCAGTAGCAAATACTTCAACCAATTTTTTCCCACACCTCTCCATTATTCTTACACGTTAGCCTGCCTTTACTTTAGTCCATTCCAATTCATGAAACTGCTTTAGCTCATTAATATTTAAGGAAGACATTCTATAGTTGCATATTTTAGATCATGCTAAAATATCTTAATTGGGTTAAGGACTGGTGTCTGCTCCAAAATTTCTTCTACTTCAGACCTTCTATTGTAGATTTAGTAACCAAGATAAACATGGTAAAAAGAAAGTTTCAATGATTCTTTGATTTTACTTAATATTAACTGAACCAGAGAAATATTGCTAGTTTAATAAAATCCTGGCTTAGAACAACTATATGATTTTTCATCGTATATGAGCAGTGGCTGGACGCACTGATCCCTTGAGGCCCACTTAAATTGATTTATTTTACTGCTGTTCTATTTTGCTCTCTTTCTATTCATTCTAAAACGTTTGTGTACTGACCTATTTTTTTTAAATGTTTCTGTTATGAAATTGTATTGAATTCTCTTTTACAGAAAAATGCTGTAAATAATATGCACAGTTGATGTTTTTAAATATGCTTTTTTGCTTTCTAGAGAACCTCTTTGGATAGTTTATAGAAAATGTTTAAAATTAAAACAAGTGTGTAGTACAATCTTAAAATAATTTATCAAGGTATAATTAATAAAGGTATTATTACCTTCAAGGAAAGGGTATTCAAAATGAGAATAAAATAGATTATTATAAGAAGGCACAATTTTATTTGTTCTAATGAGTTTTTAAATAAATTTAAAATGTGTGATAAATACAATGAAAATATTTATTTTATTCTGTTATTACTGAATATAAACCTCACTTTTCTGTTTATTCCAATATTCAAAATAACTTTAACCAATAAAAATGCAAAGCATAAAATATAACAAAATTAATGCAATTACAGTAAAAGTTAAATCAGTAATTAACAATTAAAAGCTTGGAAAAGAAATGATTGTCTTATCTTAAATACTAGACATATCTGGGGCCTGGGGAAGCCATTGGGATCTATATCTTCAACAGTATATTTTACATATGTTTATTAACACATGTTAATAAAGTCCAAAAAAATCTCAGGATCTTGATCCTCTGCATAGCAAGGAGAAATTTGATAACCTCAGGGTTTCAGAACTATGATAAGCTTCTGCAAATATGGATTTTGAAGATGATCTATTTTCTGCAACATAATCAAAGAATGATTATGTTGCAGAATAGAGCAACAAATTTGATTAGCAGACTGGAGACTAAAACATATGTTAAAAAAAAGGCTGGAATTGTGTATGTCCAATTCAGGGGTCTTCAAACTTGACAGCTTTCAGACTTGTGGACTTCAACTCCCACAATTCCCCCTCAGTCATGTTGGCTCAGGAATTCTGGGAGTTGAACTCCACAAGTCTTAAACTTGACAAGTTTAAAACCCTTGGTCTAGTAGTTTAATGAAAAGGACTAGGGGTGACAAGACAGCAGTGTTCCAATACCTAAAGCAGGGGTGTCAAACTTGCATCATCACAGCAGTATCACGTGACTTATTGTGACTTTTTCTCCCTTTGCTAAATTAGGCATGGGTGTGGCCAGCACAAGACACATCTGGTCCGCGGGCAGCAAGTTGGACATCCCTGATCTAAAGGACTGCCACAAAGAAGGAGTCAAGCTATTCTCCAAGCAACTGAAGGCAGGACAAGAAGCAATGGATGGAAAATAACCAAGGAGAGAAGCAACCTAGAACTAAGGAGAAATTTCCTGACAGTGAGAACAATTAATCAGTGGAATAACTTACCCCCAGAAGCTGTGAGTGCTCCCTCACTAGAAGTTTTTAAGAAGAGTTTGTACAACCATCTGAAACGGTGTAGGTAGGCTTTCCTGTCTGAGCAGGGGGATGAACTAGACCAGGGATCTCCAACCTTTTGGATCCCAGGGACCACCAAACTCATAATTTTAAATCCCGTGGACCAGAGACCCTGGGAAAATCCCAAAAAGAGTCTGCAGGAAAATTCCCCACCCCATTTTCCTACCGATTGATCATTCTTTATTTGGGATTGCAGGATATCGTCTCCAGCTCTGTTCTCGGGGGGAGGGAGGGAGAGAGACTTTTGGCTTCATGCAAGGAAAACAGCAGAAGCAGCAGAAGTCTTTCTTTCTCTCCGCCAAACTCCACCAGAAATGAATCTTTATTGACGCAGCCTCTTGGAGCAGGATGCCTTGCAGGGTCCCAAAGACTCATTTCTGGTGGGGTTTGGAGGAGAGAAGGAAAGACTTTTGCTACTTTCCTTACGTGTAGCCAAAAGCAGAAAAAGAAAGAAGCAGAAGGAAGCAGCCCGGTGGCCAGGCCAGAAGCGTAGGACAAGTTCCCTCCTTCCGCCCTTTCCCCTCTCCCCTCACTACCTCGTGTTGTTCGCAATGCAAGCGACGCAAGCCTTGTGTTCCTGTGGGCCATGTGGGTGGCGCAGCCTTGTGTTCCCATACAGCCTGGATTAATTGCTTTGGGGATGACATTTCTCTGTGAACCACCACAATTTTCTCGTGGATCACCAGTGGTCCACAGTCCACTGGTTGCCAACGATTGAACTAGACAATCTCTAAGGTCTCTACCAACTATGTTATTTTGTTGATTATTCTGATTTAACTAAGGTTGAAGCAAATGCCTCTGAACTCTTCCTGTCAACTACACAGAGAAAAAGGAAATCTTAAATATTAAACCATGGTTTAACTTGTTGACAAAACCATAATTGTCTGTTTACATCAAATTGCCAGATTCACACGAAATTCTAAGTGAATCATGTTACAGTTAGCATATTACATAAAACCATGCTATAAATGGAAGCCGAACTGCACTGATATTCCATCAAGATATGATTTAACTAAAGTTTGCTTAACACTGACCAAATTTGTAAAAGACACTAAACCAAAAATCAATTATGATATAGCAACATGAGAACTATATTCATATAATTTACAGAATTACAAAGTAGCCAGACCATTTCAACTATGTTAAAATATACATTTTATACAAACCCAGTCGTTGCTGATAGTTATATGAAAACTCAAAAGATTCAGCTAATTTGATTAATGTTAAGTTCTTAATGAGTAAACATGTAATCAGAACATAAGTCATGGATGGAACCATCAAAGATATCTTTATTGTCTTACCTTTTATGACACTCACAGTTATCTTTCACACATGGCCTGTAGTTCTTCACTGCCTCATCAATTTGAACAAGAATTTTTTTCCAGCGTGTATCTAAAATTTAAACAGAAACATTTTTGCAAATATTATTATTTCCACTGTGGTATTGATACAGGTAATGCAAGGTTTTCATATACAGTATGTTCTATGAATACTGTGCCTGCAATATGAATGAAATTGGATTTACAATTTTATGATAAAGGTATTCATTTTTCCTCTAATTCTACTTATGAAAACATACAAAAAAGCCCCAAACGGTCAAATTCTTTTTCCTTAAATTATATAATTAAATAACTACAGTGAAATACATTATGAACTTCTTATTAAATACTAAGTATATTAAAATATTTGTCTTGCAACTTAAAATTGATGTATCATTGTATCTCTTTAATTTCCTTTGAACCTTTAGCATGTTGAATATTATTTTGCTCTTTTTTCCTTGAATAATAAAGTATTGTTTTTCATATAAACTGCTCTGAGTTCTGATAAACATGAGTTAGCCAATAGATAGATTAACAGTGGTACATTAATTGGATCGAAGAAAAAAAGGGACTTACAAACTAGATATTAAAAAGTTATAAAATTTGCCTACAATTTAATTCATCTGCATGAATAATTTATTTGCACAGTACAGTTTTTATCAAAAAGGTCAATGTATAGCATAAGTAGATGAGGCACAGAACTAACTATCACTGAAAGCTAATGTATTTATTTTATTTATTATATTATTTATTTAAATGTTCTTTATTTACTCAGTGACCGTGCTAAGCCACAAATTTCTTTCTGGTATCATCTACGCTTATGCCCACAGAATAATGTGGCTTTAAATGCAGTGGCACTGAGGCAGCATTTAATCTGGTGAGTAAAACTTTGTAATGACATTTTGTATTGCAAATAATGTTGCATTACATTATTCTACAGTCTTCTACACTATATAGTCCAGTCAGAGCTGGAACGAACAGTTACCATATGTTAAAAGCAACAAGTGAGCAGAAATGGCTTTCATTCTCCAATGTCCAAAGGTGGGGGGGGGGGATATACTCCAGCAATGCTTACATTATTGCTTAAACAAGTCTACAGATGCAATTTTACCTGGATAAACGTTTCTTTTTCATTAATTATTTAATATGCAGAAAGTTCCCACTTGATTCGGAAAAGTTGCTTCAGAGGTAAAAAGGAAGCACAGGAAAAGATGCAGCTAGTCAAAATGGACAGACATGTTATGTCAAAACACTTTTTTAAAATTGAATCAAAGTGCTGCACCGTTCTAATAAATTACAAAAGCAAATGCTATCATATTGTTTTTTATGACTAAGATTTCTCAGTCTGTTTTCTAATGTATAAAAAGTAATGCTTCCAGGTGTGTGAAATTCCTAGAATTAGTCGTGATGCCAAAGATTTCTGATAAATTGCAGGATATCAGGTCGTAGACAAATCTTAATTTAGTGTTTTAATTCGGTAAATTTTATTTTTAATAATTTGCAAAACAGTAAAATATTGAGAATGGTTAAAGCATGTTTAGGAAACAAGTTCCAGGTGAATGTTCAAATCTCTGGCAAATAAGAAAAAAGGAAACTTATAAAGGAATAGTGATATTGACTCCTGCACAACGAATGACTCCAGAGAGTCAAGAATGAGGTGCTGCAGAAAGAATTCCTGGATCCCATAGATTAGCATGCCGCAAAACGAAATTGTATCGAGATACGTTTCGGTGCCATTTGTTTCTAATCAGTGAAAAATCATCCTAAGAACACTCACCTGCTGAGCTACTTCCCCAGCACACAGTAAACAGAAACAGAATAAAAACATGTAAAACCCCAAGAGACAACTGCAGACGCCGCATCACGCCGAACACAAAAACTACAACTTTAACGCATGCGCCCAAACATCCTCCCGAATTTCACTGGAAAAATTCATTGAAAAAAGGAAACTCGAGTTGCACTAGCCCCGCCTCCATCGATAGCAATTTACACGCAAACTCAGAAGTAAGGACCCGCCGCCGCCGCCGCGTTGGTTTATGGGGTTTGTAGTTTGTTAACAGGAAAAAACCGTTTCGTATTGTGCATCTTCTGTATTGACAGCAGAACCGTGTTAATTCCGCCTTCTAATATATAAAGATGTAGGTTACTGACATTGACAGATTATTGACAATGATTTCATTTCAAACAGACGCAGTGTTCTCTCCAAACACAAAAACCTGTTGATATCCAGATAGTTTTTGCTTGGAGATCCGCCCTTTGGGCTCCGTGATTTCTTACTTGAGTTGTGAATACTCAAGTCCGATGTAAGCAGCAACCGAGGGAGGAGTTAGTGCATAGTTGCATCGGAACTGCCTGTTAGAAAATGGCTTCGGCCCGTTGACGCGACTTATTGTCTCCTAACATCCGAGCTTCGTCAAATCTGCGATGTGTTCCGAACCTCCACGGGGACGAAGCTGTTAGTGGACTTCATACACTAAAGGCCTATGCGGCCAACTGCGGGAAAAGATACCTCCAGAGGACCTTGGCTATTTATGGTTAATGCCAGGAGTAAACTTGTAATTTGAATTGGAGGATTTGTATGGAAACCTAATTCAGTATTTATTAATCACTGTCCAGAGCCTAAGAAATTTGCAGGATCACATCCATGCCGAACAGCAGCTTTGCCGTACAGTTTATTTTAGCATACTCTAGTCTAGGGGGTTAGCGGATCTGCAGGGTATTAGATGAACTTGGAAAATGAGGTTGGAAAAGAATCACGATTCTGTTAATCATAGGTAAGCTGTCCTGCAAATATAGCACTTCAAGTTGCCAAGTTTTCTGTGTTTGGTGAGACAGTGCAGTTGTACACATTGGAAGGAGTATGGGTTTGTGAGAACAAAACGGTACTAACATAATCAGGAATCTTTTTTTTGTAGGTAGTGTGTTGCAAAACAAAAACAAAAATTTGTAGCTACGTTGGATGTTACATTAAACAATGAAACGGGAAACTCTGAAGCATAATTATTATAATCAAATATGTAGAGAGGAAAATTGGCAACATTGTTTAAAGTGAGTGATCTCCCAATGACCCAAAACCTTGAGGAAAAACAGCACATATTTAATCTCTGCTATTCTGCTCGAATTGATTGCCAGATGAAACTCTCTTTAACAGGCTAAAGCTTGTATTAGTTGATGAGAAATGTACTGTTACATAACAGAATAGAAGAAAAGGAAATATAGAAGGGAAGATTTTCAAATAATATCCCTATAGTAAAGCTCATTCATCAGTTGCAATCAGCATTTCAAATGGAAAGATTGCCTTTACTGTGACTTGATAGGCACTGCAGCTGTTTTGGAAAAATAAAAATAAAACTGTTTTCTCACAAAGATAAAAGAATGCAAGTACCTAAGTAGAAAGCTGATTCAGAAGTAATGCAAAAACACAATATAGAAGTGTCCCAAACCCTCAGGAGTTTTGAAATGGATCAGATGTGAATCCTGTGAAAACAGATATTACATTCACTACAGTGTACCACCATTTATTTATTTATCAAATTTATATATGATCCTTCTTGCCTAAGTGACTGTGGATAGTTTATAAATAAAAGCCATACAGTCATATAAAAGAAACATAGAAACAAAGTGAAAAAAAAGTTATAAATTTAAAAAGGCAGAATACCCTCAAGCCACCAACCAATCCTCAGGACTGCATGTCATTCTTAGATTCTCAAGTCAGTGGCAGAGTCTGATCTTGATATTCTTCAGAAAGACTAACAGAATAGGGCCCACCTCATCTCCTGTAGCAAAATATTCCATAGGGCAGGGCAACAGAAGAAAAGTTTTTCTTCCTAAACCTGTCAGTCAAATTCTTTGAACTACAGGGTGCACAACATATCTTTCCTACCTAACTGAGTTGAGGAATGAGTTGATGTAATTGGGACAAGATGGTTCCAGAGATAACCTGTTCCATGCTGTTTAGGGCTTAAAATGTAACTATTGGACCGGCAGCTCCTGGATATCCTTAAAGGATAGCTCCATGAAGAGCCCCTTGTGGTGGTCTATCCAAAAGATTATCAAGGCATGAATGACTGAAAGAAGAGATGCTTGACAGAGAAAGGGGGCATATCCAGCACATTTTCTCATTAATGTTTTTCATTCTTTTCAGATTCACGGAACGCTTAATTTTGCGAAGTAGGTGAACATTAGAAAGGAAAAGCTTTTGCAATTTACTGCCACACTGAACCAAGTAATGCAAGAACAGACTCACTCTCGGTATCATTGGACAATAGTTAAAAACCTTAGGTGAAATTGTTGGGCTTTCTCTTTTTGCTTTGCTAGAATTTTAGTACAATATATGTATTTATTGAAAGTGCTAAATATTAGCTAAAACTATCTTTCCATCAGAATTTAGTCTCACTTGCTTTAAATAAATGTTTCACTACTATGAGGTTACAATGTTAGTATTTGTTTAGATTTGATTAATATTTATTTCTAAGTAAAATTTCTTAAATATTTCTTGGTAACATAAGGTAGAAAAAGAAAATAGAAAAATGGAAAAGGATTTGTATTTACAATAGGCTATTCAATATTACACATACTCATACGTGACAATAAGTATTCACTACATTCAGAGGATTGTTTTTAGAAAGTAGATTGGAATGGGTTGAAAAATCTGAAGAAATTTAACATATTTTGAGTCTTATACAGGTAATCTTCAATTTATGACCATAATTGCATCCAAAATTTATGTTGCTAAGTGAGACATTTGTTAAGTGAATTTTGCCCATTTTATGACTTTTTTGCCATATTTGTTAAGTGAATCACTGCAGTTGTTTAAATTAGTAACACAGTTGTTAAGTGACTCTGGCTTCCCCATTGACTTAGCCTGTCAGAAGGTTGCAAAAGATGATCACATGACCTCAGGATACTGCAACAGTCATAAATGTGAGCCAATTGTCAAGCACCTGATTGTAAATCACATTGTCAGGGCTCCAGTAGTTACCCCCATTTAAATCATGAGTCTCTAGCCTGATTTGCAAAGCTCAAAGAAGATTTATTAGAAGACATGCCGGTGCTGCCTGGGTGTAGCTGACTCTGAGACACATCATTCATTGTCACACTTGACCCTGGTTTTCCCCCACCCCCTGGGTGTATCATAATTCATATTCTCCAATGGGACACATCCATAGCCAAGAGTCATCTATCATACTCTCCAGTTAGAATTTTGCAGGGCAGAAACTTTGGTCGCCTGGAAACTATGAAAACTTCCATGGAATACAGTTTTGGTTTTGCAGCTGCTACACTACTCCCCCTTCCCTTTCTCTTGGCAACTCTAAAAGACCAAAGAAATATTTTACAAGTTGACACACATGACCATGAGGATGCTGCAACAGATACAAGTGAGAAAAATGGTCATAAGTCTCTTTTTTCAATGCTGTTATAACTTTGAATGATCACTAAGCAAATTATTTTAAGTCGAGGTCTACCTGTAACTTGCTGGTGATCATATTTCTTCTACCTTCTTAATAGCCCATGATATTTTTACTACAAATATGTAATACTGAAAGAAATTAATTTACTTGGAGACACCAGTAATCTTTGATTATCATTCATATCTGAGTAAAATTTATTGCAGTATTGTAATGTTCATAATTGTCCTGGTGGCATTCCATATTGTTTTTGTGTTATCTCTTGTGTTCTGACAACCAGAGTAGATTGAGTTGTTTCATGGAAATATAAGAATCAACATCTGTAGATAGCAGGAACTTAAAAAGAAAGGAGTTCTTTCAGAATATTCAGAATGTATTTCAGTATTGTCACAAAGGAAACAATAGATGGACTGGAAAATTTCTTCTGAATCTAATCACTGTCTTCATCAGTGAGGGAATTCATTTCTGTTCATATGTGTGTGTACTTTAAATATAACTGTTCCAATTACAAAAAAGTCTTCCAAAACTTTAAATGAGATTATTCAGTGCAGAAAAATATATTGCCATAGAGAAAATATAAGCATCTGGGGAATCCCCCATGCCCCCTTATTGCAGTCTCTTGTTAAATAACTCGTCAAACTTCCATTTGAGGTTTTGTGATTTCAGAGTTCAATAGCTTTCTCCAACTAATCATCCCAGGAGATAAACTGCCAATAACAGATAATTAAGTTGCATGGGGCTCTATTAAAACTTTACGAGACAATATTTTTGAGATCTATACTTGCAAATTAGCTGCAGTGGGCATTGTTAAGAAGATACTGTTTGCATAAGAAATAAACAGAAGAAGGATGTACATTAAACATATTCTCCATTGGCTGAAAATTGCAGCAAATTCATTTTAATCCATTCCAAAATTAGAAACAGAGCCCTAAGCATTCATTAAGGATGCTGTTGCTCATCAGACAGACGCATCAGGGCAGAACTCCAGAGACAAACTGCCTTTCTCACAGACGAGATGATTCACTTAAAATGCAAAAGAAATTGAAAACCAGTACAAACTTTTTCTAAACTAAATAAAAGAGCTAGTGCTTGGAAAGACTGTTATTCATACCATTCATTCATATATACATATACATATACATTTACACACACACACACACACACACATGCAGGTCTTGACATGTTCGGGTCTTTTCCCGTGTAAGATTGAGAGTATTCTCAATCTTATACGGGAAAAGACCCGAACATGCCAAGACCTACATACCTGTACCCATGAAAATCTACAAATATATATATATGTTGCTACAACTTTAAAAGCACAACTATAATGACGTGGGAAAATATCTGAACAAAGCTGAATACCATTCATGTAAGTACCCGTGAAAACTTAAGAAATAAATTATATATATATATATATATATATATTCGTAGATTTTCACATACACATATATACATGTATACATACATAAATACATGGTCAACATGTTTTAAACACAAGGTCATGTACAATATTTGGACAATCATTTGTTTTAGTCTTAAGTCAATATCTATGCTTTATTTGCTTA